TTAAGTGTACTTTTGACAACTCGGACATCTTAATGGTAGGAGCTAATTGGGAGCTAGAAGGAAATTATAGTCCAAGATATTAATATGGACAGGATTCTGTTTAGTAGGGTCTGTAAAGAGGGGCAGTCTTGTTCTTAGATGAACAGAAGTAGCTGGAGAATGCTTGCTAGCTTTTGGCATACAGATCCTTCCTAGACAGAGCAGTTAAGTGCCAGGTTGATTCAGAAAGCCTCCTTTTGTTAGCAGAAGCAGCTGTGGAGGATTTATTGTCTTTTGAATGAACTGTCCACTGAAATACTGCATTCTAAAATGAGAAAGGGATTAGCAGTGAGATACAGGGCAGCCAGAGCACTTGTGCAGATGCCCAGACAGGTTTAGGACAGGATGTTAAATAGAAATTATCATTATAGTTGGTATCAGAGTTTTGACAAGGAGCCATATGCCAGATTGCATCTGGTGTATAGATGAGAGAAAACTAGATTTAATGATCTCCTGAGCAAAATTCATCCACACCTTCACAGGGGCAGAAGAAAACAGGGGAGGCAGACCTCTGTGTAGAGACTGTCCCCTGGGAAGAGCAGCAGTGGAAAATTAGCCATGTAGGGTATGGTATGGGAGCTAGCCTTTACTTATTTAGACTGGCCCAGAAGCTCCTACTTGTCTGCTCTGGGATCTTGGAATATCAGGGTATTATTTGAAGGCAGAGAGGAGGTGCTTTAGCAGCTGTTCAGAAGCATGAAGAGCTCTGCCTAGTTGTTGCAGCTGCTCCCCCCTCCTTTCCTCCTTGAAACAACCACTGGAGACTGTGCTTCCACCCATGACAAAGGCAGCAGTCAGTCTATAAGGGGACTCCGCTTCCTTCTGGTGCGTCCTGGGGCAGAGTTACAGTGACTAAATGCATAAGATACTCCTAGAACGTCAGCAAAGAAGAGAAAGAAAAACTAAGAAGAAGGATTAAAATACCTTACAGGTTTTTATTGAGTTAGATTATTGGACAGGTGTTTGATCTCTCATGATACCCTGAAGGCAAGTAAAAGACAACTCGTAAGTGTCAAGTTAGCTGTTGCTGAAGACAATGCTGATGAAGAGCAGGAACATCTGTGGAAAAGCCTGCTTGAAAACAAGTTGCTTTTCAGGTCATATTTGAAACATCCTTTGTCTGGTCCACTGGAATTAGGTAATGAAAGAAAACATGTGGATGAATCGAACCAAGTCTTGCTTTGCCGATTGTTCTGAAGACTAGTGACAACTCATACTTCTCAACTGAAGGCTGAATTAACTCAGTTCATTTCTTCTAGCAGTCAGAGGAAGCCAGTGGTAGGACTAAGGAAAGAACTATAATTAAACTCCACCCATCTTCAAATGCAGGTGAAGAGATCATAATTCATGAAATGAATCTATACAATTAGAAAATGTTCATACAATTACAAGCTGAACACTGAATGACTAGTGATTCATGAATAATGACCCAGTATCCACTCACAAACCTCAGTGAGGAGATCCAATTTATATTCTGTTTGTGACCATGATCTTTTTCAAACCTGTACCTGTAACCAGAAAGACCTTTTGGGAGACTTACAAATGAAGTATGAACAATGAAGTATGAGCATCCCTATCCAGTCAGATAACAAGTCCACTTACTTCAAGAGTTTGTCTTAAACAGTGGCCCATAGGTAATGCCAAGGAAGAAGAGACATCCTCAGGCAACACTCTCTGCCTTCACATTCACAATCTGTAATCAATACATAAAATAATGAATAAATAAATAAATAAAATCAAAATTTGAACCTGTATGGGGAACTCACGATAAAGCAACACAACCATCAATAGCTTATGCTCTGGAAAGAATCTTTAAGGTAGGGTATGTAAAGCCCTAACTAACCTGGTGTGTCCTCACAGCTGACCCTGATTTCAGCAGGGGGAGATCTCTGGAGATCCCTGAAAAGAATGCCAGTGCATGCTCCCAGGAAGGATATTTGTGCCAGCTGAAGTTGAATCTCCAGATCCAAAGCAACCAGGGGAAAGATGCACATGTTTTGGCAACAGCGGGTACTTATAAGGTTGTAGCAGTAGTCCAGCTATTAGAGAGGGGTAGCAGGCACACAGGATTAATGCAAAAACGTTGGAAGCTTCATACATGAGCATTAAGGGACTGACTTGGGACTTTGTTTTCTTTACTCTCTGCTTTACCAAACTGCTCCTCATAAATCCCTCCCCAGAACCCTCTTCAGAGTTGCCTGTGTTTCTTCCCTCCCATTTCCCGCAAGAGGAGCCTGAGAACAATCCAACAAACCTTCTCACCTTTGGTTTAAACCTTTTCCTTCATTACCTCTGGCATTGGTTTGTTGTTGTGCTCTCATACATTTATTACCTAATTCTGGCAGTAAACTCCTTTGACAGGGATAGTGTTTCCTTAAATTTCACTGTATTTATTGAGCTCCACATAGGGTCATCTGCAGAACAGATTATCATTACTATTGCAACAGCCAGGTCTGTAGGATTAACCAGTCAGAATGAGAAAAGCCAGTTGCCTTTTTTTCCCCTAGGTTCTTGACTAATGTCAGCTGCTTTCTGAGCTCTTTAGTGAGTGAGTGTGACTGCAGGGAATTTGGGACTTCTAAAACACCCATCTCTGAGTTATGAATGGGCAAAGGGGTATTTCTAAAATGGGAAACCTGCTAGACGTGAACTGACTGGTAAGTCAGAATAACTTGTCTCAGAATCAGTTTGTGTTTGTTTGACAAAAGGTTTTCATTTTAGCTCACTCGAGTTCTATGTGAATGGAGATGTTCTTCTGTAATGCAAGTTTACTGAGGGTTTGGGATTTTTGGGTGGGTTCCCCTTCTCCATCCCCATTTTTCTCTGTCATTTCTGGTAATTCAGGTTGGCTTGGGGTGGGATTTCCAGGCTTCACTTCACAAACTCTTCTGCTCCAGTGTTATTTAGAGGGTTTGGAAAAATCCTATTCTAGGTGTCTCTAGTTCTCTGCCTGTGAAATGGGTATTGTAATAGACTATCCTATCAGGACAGTGAGAGAATTAATTTGGCATAGTGTGATCAGTGACAGTGTTGAGATGAGGTCTGAAGTTTTATATTACTGTGTAATCTATATATAGAGGTCACTATATATATAGATTAGTTTTTTTTCTTATGTGTATATATAAATACTAAGTTGCTGAGTCAAAAATACACATTATGGTGGAATATCGTAAGCTGCATTTACTGCCTTTGCAGAGAGGGATAGTTTAGCTATAAGGTTATCACCAAGGCTAGGCAAAAATTTGTGCATGGGATTCCTTAAAAAAGAGATGACATGATTACCTGTGTTCTTTAAACCGAAGCAAAACATCATGCATTATGGAAAACACAGATTAGGAAACTAAGCATGTTTGATTTTGGTGTTAATGCTGTAATGGTTAGTTGCTTTAAGATTGCTGTAACATGTTACCTGTGGTTATGAGTAATAATTGTTATTTAAAGCATTACAAAACTATTTACGAGTACTAAGCTTGTGTACACTAATTTTAAGATTGATGCTTGCTACGTGAGGGTAGTGCTTATATAAATTTGCACAGATACAAAGCAAAAGAGCTGAAGATTTCTTGGAGAAAACATCATTTTCCTAATACTTCTGTAACACAAAGTGGGAGGTGCCAGACAATAGGTGTCAGCACTGGTTCAGTTATGCACAACTTCGCTGCAGCTGGTGTTAAGCCCAAGTTTGCTGTGAACTAGACTTTGAGCAAGCTGAATGCCTGTAAAGAAGTGCTGTGACAGTGTTTGGCACTTGTTATAAAACAGCTTTTTTCAGGGGATAGACTGGGCAATAGAATACAGGAGTCAGAAGATAAAAGCAGGTAAAAACAATGTATGTGTGGTATGCCATGTTTCCAAAATACTGAAGGAAAGGCTGTTTCTGAAAGTGGTGTTTTAATTAGATTTTGTTGTTTTGTGAATTGTTCAGAGAGGTTCCTGGGAGGAGACTTTGATGAAGCACTTTCCTAGGGACTTTAAGAAAACAAAAGAAACCCTTATTGAAGCGAATAAGCCCGGTAGGCTGAAGAAGGAAAGCAAAGTCACAAAAATCAGGGTGGAGCAGACAGGACTAAGTACAGTGCTAGGAAACTTCCATGAGACTTTGGAATCATGCTGTTTTATGGAGGGATTTTGAACTGGAACTAAGGGGTTTGATAGCTTGTTTGTGAAATCAGTGCGTGTTACATCCAGGGGGCCGTGGACAATTCTGCAACAACTTTGGAAGCAAAACCAGGAAGACTTAATGCAAAATGTACAGTTGTGCAATGGAGAAACCAGATGAGACCCCATCAGGAAGTGGAAGACAACTTCTTCATAGAATTGGATTCCTCTGTGTTTTGCTGGTGACACTCACATAAGGATATACAGTCCAGGATATGAGGATTAAGCCAAAAAGATGTAAGCCTAAATGCTGTAAGATCCCAGTGAAAACATTATGGTCTTCAACTGGATTAGAGTGTCGGTTGTCTAGAATTGCTTTTACCTGGACAAATGCTTATCTGTTTAAACTGTGTCCTTGCAGGTGAAGGATACTGTAGCTTTAAAACTGTAAGGAAAGTAGTGAAATAGCCTTGCAGTCAGTCTACTAGCTGATGTGCGTGTATGGAGGAGTTGATAAATAAGCAGGAGCTCTCATTAGAGACCTGTGTGTGGTGAATGCCAGGGGGATGGCTATGCACAGAGCTTTTCCTTGTTAATATTTGGTGGGGGGATAGCTGAGATACCCCCCCCCCCCCCCCCCTTCCCCTCCCCGAGTGTGTGCTGTATTGCAAAATCCTGTGTGTTCCTGGCAGCTGTTGCGGTGGCACACTCCGAGTGCCCCAAGCCTGGCAGTATAATCTAAAGGGAATGCAGTTGAATTGTGATCTATTGCTATATAAAAGGGGGCGGGTCACTCTGCTGGTTCCAGCTCCTTTTCTGTCATTACTGCTGCAGAAGCACCAACCAAAGGCAGCTGGCACGCCTCTTCGTTGGCTCTTACATAATGTGGGGTTTCACAGGGCACTGATGTAGAAATAAAGTCAAACATTCTTGAGGCAGACTCACATTACTTGTATCGCTGGTGCTCGCTTCGCTGTGGGGTGTAGGGCTGCTCTTGGGAGGGTGATCTGTGGCCCTGTTTGAGTGAATTGTGGAAGGTGCGCAGGATGGCTCCAAGCGACACAAGGGATGAACTTGTTTTCTTTGTGAATGGGAAAAAGGTAAGGAAGATTCCAGCTTTGTGTCTTGATTACTTATTTTTCTGGTAATCTTTTTTCCTCCTTTCAAGGTTTCTGATACCAGCACAATTGCCATGGCATTTACCTATTAAATTGTGAAGACTGCTTATTGCTTTACTAAGTGGCTTTTTCTCTTCTTCGACTTTACCTTGTGAACCACTCAGAGTAGCACAAGTGTATAATGTTCCTTTTACATTTTAGATTTGTTGGCAATAATTTCCTGCAGTTCTGAGGCAGCTAAGTAAAGGTGCACTAACTTCATACAGGCATTTCTACTAGAAATCGTTTCAGTAATTACAACAGATCTGGAAAGCATAACTCGTATGTAAATATCCATATATAATTTGCATGTCCAGTGTGTAATTATGACTTGAGTTTTAGAAGGGGTTTCAGCAAAATGTTCGTTCCATTTCCATTTAGAAAGCTCTAAAATCAAAGCCCATTGACTGATACTGTTTCCTAGATCAACTGCTGACAATTACCCAAGAAGTGACTGTGTCTTGCAGGAGGGTGTGTGGTCCTTGCGTATGCTAGACACCTTTGTTTGCCCCAAAGCCCCCTCTCTGTTTGGATTTCCCTGGCTATCATTGCAGCCTTGACTATTCCAAAGCTTGGAACAAGTCAAGGCTGCCTGGTTTTGAATTACTAGTACCAAGTTAGCTCTGTTTGCGAGCTCAGCTCAATGCTAACCTTGCCCTGCTGCCTTCCCCTTGCCTAGATAGTTGGGGAGGGAAACTTGTGCCAAAGTATCTTCCAGCTGGGAGACTTGGGGAGGGGAGAGGGTTGCATATCCACTGTCTGCTGTGGAGCTGAGAGTTTGTGCACTGCTTAGGGGTAAATCACGTGCAGCACCAGGTTTGGGCTAGAGAATATGTATGTATTTTATTTAATCCTTTGAGATTAAACAAACACATTATTCTTATCTGGTTAAAAAGCTCTGTGCCCTGCCCTATAGACTGGCACAGGTTTGGTCTCATTTTTGCTTTTGTTGATCTTTCTTCTAGTTTAATCAAGTGTAAATGTGGGTGAGATTGTTGGTACAATGAGAGTTTTTAGTTATGAATTTGGATCCCAGAACTGGATTGGAATTTGAACCTTCCAAGGTACTAGAGCATTTGATACTAAAGTTTTGTTTTATCAAAGTATCGATAGTTAGGTGAAGAATGAAGCTTACCTAGAATGGATTGCAAGTCAGTAGAAGGGCTTTTGAATGTAAAACTGACCTAGAACCCAGTCCTGTTTCTGAGGTTCTATAAAGAAGGGTGATAACTAAGCTTTGCTCACACAGATCAGGAATGGCTCCTATGTCAATGTTAATTGACATATCAGCCGTTCATTGTTTCTAGAGGGAGGTGAAAACTTGAAGCTCCAGGTTAATCCTGACTAGGTAATGGAGCCTCATCAAGGCTGTGAAGCAGTGGCACAAGTTGATGTGCGAATTTCATCTGACGCATTTTCTGCTATGGTGGGCACAGGTTGCATACCATTAACTTGTCATCTTCTTGCCCTGTGAAGGTTTTAGTGACTTCAGCTCCTTACTCTGTGAACCCCAGTTTTTAGAGGGTGAACTGGGAGCTCTTTGACTCTTGCAGTAGGAGGTTGCCACAAACATGTTGGACAATCCAGAGCCTGACACAGGTCAAGTACACTGCCTTGTTTTCATTTTCTGGTATGCTCTAATGGAAGGGAATTGTAGCTCTGGTGCCAGAGCAGCTAAGGTTCGAAACCAAGATGCTACTCATAGTAGGTATGAAGAGTTTATAAACAAATTCTTGTATGTGTTTACAGCTTCAGCATTTATGAGTAGTTATCTATTATTAGTAGTACAGGAGCATTGCTCTGCAGAAATCAATGGAAAAGCCCTTGTTCTTGGAGGAGACCCTTGGCTAACATGAAAATGTATATCGGTCAAGGCAAAAAAGAAGGGACTGAGCTGCACAGAACTGATTCTGTGGGACTCTTTTATGTGCTGTGAGGCAGAGAGGGGAAGAAAGAGCAGCCTAGACCCTGAAGGCTAGCAGTGGAAGGCAAACAGTTCTTTTGTAACTGTTATCTGTTCTTACTCCATCCTGAAGCTCGTAAATATGTTGTGAATGGCATTGCCCTTGATGCATTTCAGCAATTTTTATGGAACTGCAGCTCTTGTTTACAAAAGCCACATCTCAGAGCTGACCTTGTGCTGTGTAAAGGGGTTTATCACAGTGTGATCTTGACAGCTGTTGGCTAAGAAAACGCCACCAGGGAATGATTAATACTACCAATGCTATCAACTCATTCCGTGTGTCAAGGCTGTCTCAGTATCCTTCCCTGCTGGCTCATGGATGTGACATTGCTAGCAAAGGAGCACGTTCCACTGATCAGAGAGGAGAGGGCTTGTGCTCTACTCAGAGCTTCTAGTGACATTTTTTTCCTATTCCTTTCTTGGATGTGTTGCCAAAATGGCTTGAGTTACACCACCACCAAATGCAGGTTTAAGAGAGAGAATTGGGCTCATGGGGCAATCCAATCTGTGGCAACGAATGTGGAGTTTGTTGGGACATGTCTGCACAATGAGATGTTATATGATAGAAGGGGTGGTGGGAAGTGCCTGGGCAACGCTGCTGAAACAGGAGGTAGCAAGGTAGGATGTGGCTCCATCCATAGAGTCCTGGCTAAATATCCCTGTTGATTTGCTGCGAAGAATGCGATAACATTGCCTGTGAGAAAGGCTACTGCTGTGTGAATTCTTGACAGCTTGACATTGCTAATGGGTCACCTGTATTCTGTCATAGTACAAAACTGCGATAAGAGGTGGTTGATAAGATAGGGACTTTCATGGCAGCAAATCCTTCCCTCTTACTTTAGCCCAGTCTGCAGTGTTGTCAGAGAAAAAGTCTCTTCAGGACAGCTGAGCATACTTCACATTCAGGACTGTTTATTTTAAGCACCTGTTTACTTCACTGGGTATAAAGCTTGGCACGTAACTAACACAGAGTTATCGATGTTAACACAGAGTTAACACAGAGTCTGCCTCGAGCAGAATGGAAAACAACACACACAGTTTAAAACTAATAGTGGCAGTTTTGTTTTCCTCAGCTGACAAGTCTGTCCGATGCATATATAGCATGTAATTTTAGTTCAAACACATGGAGTCAATATTTCTGGTTCTGCTCCTATTCTGAGGGTTAAGAGGGGTGCTGTGCTGGAGGCCACATTAGACCTCTTCCAAAGCCTGTGGATGTTTGACTGCAGATGGGACCAGCCAAAATACAGGATTTTTTTTGAGCTTTGGGATTCTCTGGGTCCTACATAAACAGTGAATTACAAGTTTTCAGCGTGCTGGTTTAAAGCAAAACACAATGTTCTCATGAGCAATAGCAGATTTACGTTGTGTGGTTATATTCAGTGTGTTCCTCGGTGTTCTAATCCTTTGCCCTACTAAATGAATTTGAAATCTCTCATTGACTTCAGGAAATACACGTTCACAGATTTTAAGGTCCTAGGGGACCTTTACCATTGTCTAGTCTGACTTGCTGTGGGGCAGTCTGGTTAAAACCTTCCACCTTCTCTTCTAGTGCCTAGTTGAGTGACTAGGAACTAGTGATCGAATGGGAGCTTGTTGTTCAGAAAGGCATCTGTGTCTCATTTGAAGACCCTAGCTGATGGAAAGCTTAGCATGTTGTTTGGTAAACTAGGGAAGTTTCCATTTTATTTTCCTTTTTGTTTCTCTATTTAGCTTTCTCAACTCCTGTTCTTTTAAATTGAAACCCCCTTTCTTTAACTTTCTGGGAATACTAATTTAAACATGATGCTTTATGTTGTAAAGGAGAACTCATCTGAGTTAGTGAACGTGGGTAGAGAAATAATATGTACTGAGATCCAAGTTTTTTACATAAAAACATGGGGAAGTGAGCTGAACACCTCTCTGGACCAGCCCATGGACTCTAGGTGAGTGGAACTGCTTAGGAACTTGTTCCATGTAGTGCCTGAATAGCTATGGAGCCAGGCTGAGCTCCCTGCTGAGGTGATCTGTGTGTTTAGGAGTCCTAGAATCAGTAGGCAAATAGATGTGTACTACAAATACAGCAGTACAGAGCAAATTTCTCTGGAGTCATTTGACTGTCTGTGCCACCCTAACATTTCCAACAAAGTTTCCTTCTGCATTTGATTAATATTTAAGCTACCACATGCAGTAAAATCCACAGTTTTGGATCTGCCAAAGTGATGTATCTGGCAATATGAAATTTGGCTTAAAAATAAAATCAAAAAACCCAGCCAGTAATGAGCAAAAATGAAATATTTCTTTAATCGCAGTGTCTAAGTAGGTTGATCCTACTCCCACTGAGGGCACTGAATATAATTCATTTTCCTTCTATACAAGGACGCTGGGGGAGGTGAGCAGGAATTGTTTTGATGGGTAAGATATTGAGCTGTGAATCATATTGTTCTGGGCATCAGACAAGAGAAGATGTTATCCCCACCCACAGGGTTTTAAAATATTTTCAGAACAAATCACAGCAGGTGATTGTAACAAACCAAAGGCTGGTGGTGTCCTGCAGCATGTCATTCTTCATCAATGGCAATGAACAAAGGGGAGGAACAGTAAAAAGTTCTTACTCTATAGCCAACAAGAGAGGCTCGTAAACAAGCATCCCTCCGCCAGGACCCTCATTGCAAAGAAATGACTCCTTGCTCTCGGATATTTGAGATCTGGGTTAAACCAAAATGTCCTCCCAACTCTTACCCCTTATCTCCCTCTGATCCCAAGTCTCTGCCAGCATTGCTGAGACAGTGGAGTAGTTTGAAGTAACTGAAGTAGGAATCCTGGGCTATTGGTTTCAGCAGGGTAAGAGCATGGATTTGCTCAGGACATGTTCCTACTCCATAGTAGGAGCCACTTTCTGACAAAGCTGAATAGAGGGTTGACTTTGGGACTTAACACATGCTTAAATACTTCACTGAAAGTGCGTGGAGCTGAGTGGCTAAATGCTTTGCTGAATGAAGGCTTAGGCACATGTTTCATTTCTTACTTAACTTTCTGAAAAGGAGCCACTCGGCCAAGCTTTTAATTGCTTGGTTTGAGTACATACTGGAGTGCTGCTTGGGTTCTTTAAGGAAGAATTCTTGGACATTTTCTTTGAATAATCTCAGTCTTTTAAGTATTTTGAAGCTTTTTCTGAGTGCCTCGCTATCTTGGAAGCTGCTTTGAAGGGCTTGCAATGACCATCAGCACAGCCCTGAGGAAGAAACTCAGCTTGATAATGAGAGGATGAGTTGCTGAGAAAGGCTCTTTTCCTGTGAAAGGGCTCTCAAAGGACTTTTGTCTATGGGACACTGGTACTCACAGGTATTTTTTGGAATTATCTGCTCGTATCTGTTTCCCAGACTGCAGCAGAAGGATATATGTGCTTACTCTGAACCAACCGGTCATGAGAGCCTCTATGTGCTCTTACTTGTTTCTATGCATCCAAAAGGTGAGGGAATAGGAACGCTCTGCTCTGAATAGCAGCAACAAGTGTTGTAGGATTTACAGTAAGACATCCCCAAGCTAGAAGAATGAACTCTGTTTCCTTATAGATTATCCTCAATGCAGGAATAAGAGATGCAAAAAAATGGCCAGTTGTTTTTTGCACCTTTTCAGCTAGTTCTAAAAACGTGGACTCAAATAGGAAGTATGTACCTTGTCTCTTCGGAATAGCCCTGTCACGTGTCGAAGGCGTATCATTGGAGCAGTCCAGAGGTTGTGAAGGTTTCTTATCGGGGAGAAAAAAGGCTTGCACAGTTGACCTCTGTTTCAATTTGCCCTTCAAACTGGGAGTGATTAATTTAAATAAACTGTAGCTATTGTACTTGGGACTTGCACAATGTAAGAGCCAAGAGCACATGATTACGTTCTGGCACACAGTGAATCTGGAAAAGCTTCTTGACACTTTATTAGTAACAGAAGAAGGGGAAGACAAGCTCTGTGGCCATTTGGAGGCAAGGACAGGACTTTGGTTTCTGACCCTTGGGCAGAACTTCAAGTAAAATCTAATTTTCAGTCTAATAGGTAACTGCTAATACTGTTGTTCACTAATAGGATGGAGCTGACCCAAAATGCGCAGAGAAAATTTCCCCTTGGCTGATATTTCCCATTCGCACATTTAGGATGGCTGCTAATGTAACACTGACTTAATGTTAGCAGGGAAGGAAGAGAAAACTTCAAGATGATTGGTACTTGCTGTATGTCCTGCAGCACCTGTACTGCTCATTTTAGGGTTTCTGCTGTTGTTTTTTTTTCTGTGCAAAGACTATTACTGGTGCTGTTTCTGTCATTCTGTTTATCTGCTCATTTTTCAGTCTCTTCTGATAAGGAGAAGGGACAGAGGTCAGTTACATATGGTCAGTAAAGATGAGATGCAATTTGGGGAGATGTCAAGAGTTCAAAACTTGAGTACAAAACACAGTTCTTTCTCTCTGCTCGCTGCTAATTCTATTTGCCATTTCTGAAGACTTGTCTCAGTGTGAAAAACTGGAAGACTTTGACATACGTAACGCGTATTTTCTCTGTCACAATAAATTCAAGGAAAAGTTGTGTCCGGGTACGTGGCCAACATTGCTCAACCTAGTAAGAGGAGTTAATCAGTGGCTCTCCTTCCTGCTCTGAAAGGAAGCTATAGAATGACCAAGCTTTCTCCGTCCAGCTAACCTCTCTATGTTGTTCAGCATTCTGTGCGTAACAGGACCTTTCTCTTCTTCCAGGTGGTGGAGAAAGTTGTGGACCCGGAAACAACTCTGCTAACCTACCTGCGAAGAAAACGTATCCAGTGTCAGAAGAAAAAGCAGAAGGCTTTAAATGCCTACAGCATTTCATAATTGTTTACTGTTCTGCCTGTCATTTGAGTGCTAGGCAGAGCTTGTGCAGAGTGTAAGAGGGAGGGCTCTGCAGGGTCTGGTGTTTCTTGCTGCCAAAGATTACAGCTGGTGTTCCAAGCTTAAACAACAGCAAATTTTAAATAATATTCTTTAAATAAACTTCAAATGATTTATTAATATTTTAAAGGGAAAACTCTCAGTATTACTGGGAATCAGAATAGGATGTAAAGAAAAAGACCATAAAATTAAAGGAAATTCAGATTTGTTCCACACAAATTGGAAAGAATTTCCTGGCCAAAATATTACAGCCACTTGAGCTGCTTGCTTTATCACCCAATAACTGGGATATTACTGGATACTTACTATCCAATAACTTGATTGTCCTGTGGCCTGTTTATCAGATGACCCAGGGATGCAAACTCAGAGGCAGAGGTTCCCACCACATACAGTGGGCATGTTACAGGAGTGGATGCAAGCAGTCACGTTTCATTCCTCTTTGAAACTGGTCAACACATGAGTCAGATGATTAGTTTCAGGAGCTTGGTAGCTATTACTGTGATGAGCAGGCTGGCTGTACTAGGCCTGGTTCAGTAGGTAGTGTCTTCTGAGGTTTTGTCTGACCAGCTGGGTGTGTGCATATGCCCAACTGTTCACATCTGTGTTGGTTTATGCCTTAAAGAGAATCGTGCACACTTATTTCACCATGCTGCCATGTTGTTTGTCTGGGATCTGAAAGAAATACAAGAATATAAATCACACTCCTTTGGGATTTCCAGCAACAGCCCTATTTTGTCTGACCATGCCTGGGGTGGATAAAGTTCAAGAGGGAAAATAAGTGGCATGACTCTGTGCCTTTGTGTACTTCCTACCACTAGACCTTTTATGTGTAAGCTTGTTAATATCTAATGCAAATAGCTCTGTAAAGAGATAACGAGAGCTCTTCAAAACCTTCTGATCTTCTACAAGAACATTCTGGTAAACTTAGGTTGTAGATGTCTGGTTATGGTCAGACAAACAGTTTGAGAAACAACTGAGGCAGGTTAGTGCTGTTGCCAAGAGAAACATTAGATGGCATAGAAAAGCTGTAATTCTGCTAAAGCAGGCACATTATTGTATGTAAGTGCTTAGGGACATGATTTAGTGGTGGACTTGGCAGTGTTAGGTTTATGGTTAGACTTGATGATCTTGAAGGCCAACTCCAACCAAAATGATTCTGATTTCCATGATCCTATGAAAGCAGTCAGTCCCAGAATCTTTGCAGTGAAGGCAGTGATGATTTGAGTTCCCTGAATCATGCTGATTGTTGCTTTTCCATAGGCTTAAGTTGATTATCTCAGCAAAGGCGTGTGTCCATTGCCAATGAAAACTGCTCTTCTTTTCCCACCAAAAACCTCTCAGCATTGGCCAATCCTCTTCACAATAAATAGCGGCTTCTCATTACCTTCTAGTGAGCGAAGGGACCCAAAGCAGATGGACTTAAGGAATTCTTCCCTGAAATGCCCTTGCAGGACGTTTGATGTAACGCCTGATTTTAGAGTACAGGCATCCACTTTGCAGCCTGTGGAGGAATCTGCTTAGGCCAGTGCACACGCTTTGTGAGTTCCCAAGTATCTCTGCAGTGATTCTGTGCATCTCTGCTAGTCCTGGCTCTCAGTGTTTCCAGGGGTCTTACCTGAATCAGGCTGCTGGCAAGTGTGCTTAGTTGGTTTTGTGCCTAGTAATGTGGAAGCCATCATAAATGAGGCCAAGAGAGGAGCTGGGGTGGCCAGACCATGACTCTCAAGATGCAGGTAGTTTGTGAGTAGTTCAGGTGCAGTTCCTGTGTGACTCAGAGAACTGTATGACTGCTCTACCTGGTAGAGTGGTAAGGTTCCTAAGTGGTAGGAATCACCAGGTGAAGGAAGAAGTCACCACTGGTAAGAGGTGCTGAAGGAGATGTCACCGTGTGTCTCAGGGACGTGGTGCATGCCTGAACAGCTCCTGAACTGCTCAGTGTTTTGCCCACAGTTGCTGACTGCTTTGTTTCCCTTATATCAGTTCCTTTTCTGAGTCTAAAGAAAAGTGGGAACTGTTGAAGTTCAGACACTTTTTTGTTTATCCTAAGAGTCTATTTGAACATGAACTGCCTCCTTATTAGGGCTTTGGGTGTTGATCTTGGAGCTCACAAGCCAGTATTTGAAACTTTGCTTATGTTGAGTTAAGTTATTAAGCATTAAAAATGAGTGTTTGGTCTCCAGCAAGAACATGTTGCTAAGCCTTGATTGACACCTCTTTGAGTAGGCTTCTGCCAACATTCTTTGTTTTCCTTGATTCCTGTTCTCTCAGTGGGCCTATGTGGAACCAAACTAGGCTGTGGAGAAGGTGGATGTGGTGCTTGCACTGTAATGATATCCAAGTATGATCCCTTTCGGAAGAAAATCCTGTATCCTTTGCAATCTAAACTCTCCAAAAGAGAAATGAAATGGGGACAGATCCAGATTCTTGACATTCCGGAAGCGTTACTGTTTTTAACAAAAGTTATATAATGGATGTTTCTGCCAAAACATAGCTTTTCACTTTCAGAACATAAACTCAAGACAAGATGTTTTTTTCCTACAGCATTACACAGTGCTGATAGGGAACTATTTCACTGTGCCCTGAAATACTTGTACTGACTCAAGCTTGCAGGCTATCTGTCTTTTCCCAATTCAGAATACCTTTATGCTCCTTTCTGGCAAAGTAACATAACTCTTGGTTGTGATCACCCAAATACTGATTACTGTGATAAAATCTTTATTGCTGTTGTATTACTGCAATAATCTGGTTCCTCTATGCCAGCAGTTGCTCACTTTTTCTCTACTTCTATTGTGTCTTTCAGAATGACTCTTATTTCCTAAGACACAAACTTCCTTCTGTTCTCTCTTTAATTGATGAGTGGAGCAATGGAATCAAACAAAACAGGGAATGGAGAGAAAGGATGAGGCAGAGTTAAAACAAGGAAATCTTGGATATATTTGGAATAATGCTTGGAGATACTTTAACTTGGGATCGACTTAATGGTTCTGCTTAGTGATGTGGTCTTGAATAGGATATCTTCAGGGTTCTTATTCTGTCTTGATAGAAACTAAATAAAGCAGCTAGTTATTGTAAGAATTTTGGCATATTCTATTTATAATATATTTCTATATATTATAATATTCTATCTATCATATAATATTATTATGTTCCTTCAACCTCGAATTTTTCATGATGTCTACCATCTAGAAATTGTTTTCTAGGTAAAAGGCCAAGAACTCAATGCTTTTCTGTAACTTTGTGAGTGGGACAGACCAGCTGTATAACATCTTGGTATTTGTCGACTGCCTCTATGAATTACTTGGTTTCTGTAAAGGTTAACATGCAACAAGGATGTTTCAAGTTCTAATTTCTAGGTCAAATCCTGGTGCATACTTAGTTTAAAGTTCAAGTGAAGTTGCTGGGAACTTTGGCTGGTGTAAGATTGGTTATGTAATGAATACCTGTATCACATCTATTTAAGTTCTCCTGTTGTGTCCACTGCTACAGTTTCTGAGTACTCTTCAGTCCCCCTGTCCACTTTTTCCTTTGTTGAGCAGCACTGTCAAATGAAATGACCTTAATTATTATTTTAGCCACCATACTGCCAATGCTTGCCTCTTCCCTATCTGTGCCCTGCATCATGTAGCTGTAACTACTGTTGAAGGCATAGGAAACACAAAATCCAGGCTGCACCCAGCCCAGGTAAGCTATTAATACTGGCAACTTCAAAACCCTCTATTCATGTTTACTTCTTATGTTAATGAATTCTGTTCCAAGGTGTTGGGACCTCTGTCATAATGTTAAACGTGGGAGTTTGACTTCCCACAAGTAGTCTTTACTGGCAGGAATGATTATGTGATAGAATCAAACTTCTGGGTCAGTGCTGCAGCTCTGTTACACCCTAGCAAGTTAACTGGTGCTATCCTGGCTGAACTGATAAGGCATTTGTTTTAGGGCTATGTGGCTGTGTTTGGTCTGCATCCTGGACCAAATCCCAGGAACTGGGAAGACTGATGTTATGGTGAAAGCCTATACAATGACCTGGAGCCAGGAATCTGAGATAGGTTTTGGCTCTTCTGTGGTCTTCCATGAAAGACCTTGGTTTCTCATCCTGTGTAGTTAGGAACCTTCCCTGCAGTAGAGCAGTAAGGTTTGGTTCAGCAATGTTTCTGGAATCCCCAAATATTCTTGGTGGGGAGGAGTGACAGGAATGTGAAGCCTTGCTCTTCTAGCAAGGTGTTATAATGCACTTTTTGGGGAAGCCTCAGTTTTGTCAGGGGTACTGTTCCTTTAGGAGGAATTATGATTCATCTCCGTTTGTACAGCAGGTAGGACTTGTGCCAACATCTGAGACAGTAAACAACAAAGTGAAGAGTATGTTAGACATGCATGAGTGGATGGCAGCTAGGCTGACCTTTGTTTGCTTGTCTTCTTTTCCTTGTCTCCCCTGAAGATTCTAACAGCTAAGTTTTGAAATTCACACTCATGTCTATACAAGTAGCCCCAACTTTTCTAGCATGGTAGATCTGAAGAACTCCTGACCTCATTGGAGGTTTTAGTTGCCTTCAGTTGGGAATTCAAAGCCTCTTTTCAGAGAGTTCTCTTTTTCTGCAGTCTGCTTCACACAGTATTTGACCATCTCATCGGAGAACATCTGATGATAGTTTAGCTCCTTTGGTGAGATTGTATTGTTTTTAACAGGGGTGTTACAGGAAGAAGCACAGCAGTGAGCTTGGTATCGTGACCTGATGGTTTTTGTTACTTTTTCTCAGGAGAGAATAGCAAAAAGTCATGGGTCCCAATGTGGCTTTTGCACTCCAGGCATCGTCATGTCCATGTACACGTTGCTTCGGAACAAACCTGAGCCCAAAATGGAGGACATAGAAGATGCTTTCCAAGGTAATACTCATAGCCCTGCAGAGCTGCAGCCTGTTCTGCTTTTATTACATCTGCTTCACCAAATGTGTTTCATTAAAGATAGCCAGTTGTCATGAAGTTAAGAAGTAGCTTTTCCCCTAGGAGACTGGCCATAGACTGTGGAAAATCTCACAGAAGCTCATTGTTTGCCCTGAAGCAGGGGCAAGTAGCCTCAGTCTTGGATTAAGATGCCCCTAATCTCCACATCTTGTTTATTCATGGCTGTCACAAGAGCCTGCAGAGGTGGCAGCATCTGTGCCAGCCAACCTCATGTTGTAAAGGATAAAGACAGCAATATAGGTGAGGGAGTGTGGCAGAATCCAACTGTGTAAATCATCTGAGGGGCTGCTATTATTGCTGAGGTTAGAGCTCTTACCGTGCTTCTGGCTCTGACCCACGAGGAAATCAGATGCAGGAGAAAGCACCCTTTCTAATTCAGGAGACTGGATAGTTGGTATACTGACTACACTCACACAGTTGAAGTAGATGAATACTGAATAAGGCAGATTGTGTTTTTTTTTTTCTAATTAATTTCAATAGAAAAGGGTGGTAGGATTGTTGCAGGATTATTAATGACATTTTCCTCTTCCCAGTTCTTTCATTAACTTTACCCAGATTTGACAAGCTTTTGTGGGAACAATAAAATGTTCTAAAAGAAGAGAAGTTTTCAGCCAAATGACACTGAATCTTTGTCCTTTTGCTCTGGCAACGTAGGGAACTTGTGTCGGTGTACGGGATACAGACCAATCCTGGAAGGATACAGGACATTTGCTAAAGTAAGTGGCTTCAAATAATGTTTAAAAGAAATCTGGAAGGCTGGCTGTCTTTCTGTCACTGAAATACACCTTGGGATGAAGTGGTGACAGAAGAAATGTATATACATGCCACAACAGCCCAGCTCCAACTCTTGACTGCTTTAATGTGCTTCATGCAATAATAATGCAGGAAGACCAACTCCTTTACTCACCCCAGTTGCTGGAAGTGGAGCACCAGGTGGTCCCTTTATGGATCACAGGCTATCAGACTGATTCTTTTCTGTAAGTTCTCAGTGTCTCTGCATAATGCAGCTTGCACACGATCCCTGATGTGGAAAAAGTGTAAAGGTATGGTGCATGAATAGGGACACACCGTGGGGGTATCTGAGGAGAAAGCTCCTTTCTTGGAAGATTGGCTGCAGAGCTGAAATAGCTCTGGAAAGAAGCTATAGCTCTTGCCTAGAGTTCACCTGCTGGTTTGAGTGAGATATGAAGCTTTGCCTTAAGTTTTCTCTAGTCCCTTTGTTTCTGAAAGACTGCTGGTGTCTGTCAAGAAAAGGAGATCATTTGGTACTTCAGTGATTATCAGCCACTCATGGGGGCTACTCTGGTATTAAATATCACAAGTAAAGAATTTAGAATGCTGCCCATTGATTCCATTTTATTATCCAGAATTGCGATCAACAAAAATACAAGCAGGAGTGAGATCCACTACAAATGGTTGATAAACCCAGTTGATATAGTCTACTTGGATTTCCAACAGGCTTTCAACAGTGTCTCACCAAAGGCTTTTAAAGACAATAAGCAGCCCTGGGGTAAGAGGAAAGATCTCTGTGTGGATGAAAGATTGGTTAAAGGCAGGAAATGGCAGGTAGGAGAAAATGGTGTGGTTTTGTGATGGAGGGAGGTCACTCATGGAGTTCTGCTGAGGTCTGTGGTGTGTGTGAGGTTATTCAAGATGTCCCTAAATGCAGTGGAAAAGAGTCATGTGAGAAATAAGTTAACGGATGTTGTGTTAGTCTGGGTAGTGAGGACAGAAACAGACTTTGAGGAATTTCAGAAGGACTTCATGAACCTGAGAGACTGGAGAATAGAATGGGATAAAAAATTCAGGGCAAATAAATGCAAAGCAATTTACAGAAAGAAGGGCAGTCCTCATTTCACATCTAATAGGATAGACTGAGTAGACACAAGGTCACCTTCCTGTTACATGCAGGGAGATGATCTTGGAGGTGTGGTAGAGTTCCCCAAAGCATCAGCTCAATGCTCACTGGCAGCCAAAGCAACACTTCAAAGGCTAGAGAACAAAAGAGAAAACACTGCCATGCCTCTGTCTGCATTATGGCTCTTCCTACACCTGAGTACTCTGTGCAGTTCTGGTCCTCTCATCTCTGACAGGGTACAGCAGAATAGGGGAACATCCAGAGAAGCGGAATAAGGATCACATCTGTGGTAATCTGGTTTTCATACAGGGAAGCAGTAGGGAAGGGGCTCTACATAGCCCGTGTACTGGTTTGTGGTGATCTCTGAGAGAGATCTATAAAATCGTGACTGGCAGCTGGAACATGGGCAGGCATCTGCTGTTTGCTGCCTCTTCCAATACAGGAGCAAAGTGTCAAGAAATGAAAGTAGTAGAAGTCAGGTTGAAACAAACAAAGGCAGATGATCTGCCATATGCCAGGTAGCTGACCTGCAGAACTCACCAAAGGGCGTTGTGAGCACCAAAAACTTGCACAGGCTTCAGGGGAGGCTGAGCATGTACTTGGACAGAGACCTGTGGAAGGTTACTAAAGAGACAGAAACTACTCTGGGTTAAGATAGTCCCCTGAGCTGAATGCAACTGGATGCTGGTAGAGTACTAGGTGTTGTATTGTATGTGCTTGTCCCTTTTATTAGTATCTCCTCACAGCTCCTGCTAGACCAGAGATACTGTCTGAATGATCAGAGTAGTTCTAAACTAGGACAAGAGGTCTGTCAGTAGGCAGGGTACTGCCTTCCACTGACAAGGGAAATACCTACTTGCTCGGCCATTTCCATCCCCCATTTCTGCTTTGGATATAATAAATGTGGGATCTCTCAAAAGCCAATCAAGTCTACTTCATTTCCTTGGAGTCTGCATGCATTTCTCAGAACAGTTTTTGCCCTCACAGGACTTGGATTGTTGTGGCAGAGTGGCCAATGGTACTGGATGCTGTCGTAGTGAGAGGGAAAATAGCATGGTAAGCTGAATTTTGACAAGCCATAATTTGCAATGTAATATTAGACTTTTGATGTTTTAGTCCCCTCTGCTGTGGTGCAGATACTCAGAGCCACCTGAGCTTGTTTGAACGTCTGCTCTTGGAAAACACTGCCATTGAATATGTCCTGATTAGCATGAATAGCCATCACGACACAGGTTTTTTACACTAGCGAGCTACACACATTCCTTCTGAATCTGGGAGGTGCAACTCTTTTGTTAAATAGCATGGTGACAGCTGTAAGAATGTGTTACCAGCTTCTGGTATATTGAAGCGATACATCTTGCTGTGAAAACAGATCTAAAAACCACTTAATTCCCCAGTACAATCTTTCCCAAACTCTGCAGTCCAGTGATGAATGGAGTAATTTAATCACTGTTCCAATAAATTGTACAATTGGAAGCTTCTGGGATATCTGGAGGAAAACAATTAATCACATTTTATGCGCCAGTTGAGGTGCAGACAACGGAGAGATGAAAACACAAATTAGGACATAAGGTAGTGCAACTATAAAATGAATTTAGGAAAGAGAGAATATAACAAAATTATTTGCCAGGAATTCCAGTGAATTCCTCTGGATTCTTTGCTAGGAAGCATTCAGTGTTGCATGAAATATTCCAGCAACTAGGACTGCTTGGAGTTCTTCTGTCAAAGTAGCTTATCAATGAAAACCATTACTACATAATTACTACATAAAAAGGAAGGAATATGTCATGTAAAACCTGGACTATTCTGACTTTGTGTAGAATAGCTGAAGTGTGCTTGTTGCTTCTTTAGAACGGGGGCTGCTGTGGAGGAAAAGCCAATGGTCCAGGCTGCTGCATGAACGGCAAAGAAGACAATGTGGTAAGGTGCCTTTGAACTATTAGTTTTTCCTCTATTTCTGATGTTTTGAAGTCTTAGCTCTGGCTTGTTCTGTGCCAAACCCCACTGTTTTGTATTTAGCTGTATTTATGCAAATCTTACCTCAGAAAAGGTACCTTTGTGATTTAACATGCCAATGTGAACGTGATGTCACTTCTGGTTGGCAAAAGCCTGCTAGTGTGTTCAGGGCTTGGGTTCTGGTTTCTGACTAGACATGCATTGTGATCAGAAAAATACAAACACCCAAAATGCTGAATCAGGTGATACCTTTTTGCTGTGTTTGCCATCCTTTGCTCCATGAAATAGTAATAGGGATTTGACTGGGAAGAGGAACAAGTTAGTGTTGTATGCAGATAGCTTTCTTCTCTGCCACCCAGCCATTTGCATTATCTCTGTCATAGAAAATGATGTCCTCCAGCCTGTTCAATTCTTCTGAGTTCCAGCCATTGGACCCCACACAGGAGCCAATCTTCCCACCAGAGTTAATGGTAAGTTCATTCAAAAAGAAATAGCATGTGGTTCATTGGTTTCATTGTGCTGCACAGGGTTTGAGTGTCCACAGTGTCTCTGCCCCAAGGAAATGGTGAGCAGAAGACGGCTGCTGATAAAAGATGGATGGGCATGAATGTTTTCCTGTTGCATAAAAGAGAAGGCTTAAGCCAGTGTGACTTAAAAGATATGCGGGCCAAGTGCTTGCCCCAGCTGGCTGGCTTTCCTCACTGTTTCTCACCATACATGACTGCTCTTGGGTTGCCTTCCTTTCTGGTCACTGCCCCATGGGCAGAACAGTTGCTGACATCTAGATTTCAATTTACTAGGTCAGACGTGAACTTCTACATTAAATACAGCTGTATCTGAGCTAATAACCCTGTGTTCTCTTTATAGTGTAGGAAAAGAAGGAGGAGCTATGGGAGGTAGCTGAATATATGTTTCAACTAGATGACTTTCCAAAAGCACCAGCTTCTGCACTCGGTGTAGCAGGAATAGCAGTTGGCTAGCTCACACTGACAGGAAATGTGGGGGATTTTAACTTCCCTGATGTTTGCTGGAAGGACCACTCAGCAACCCAGCCACAGTCCAGGAGGTTCCTCCAGTGTATGGATGATCACTTCCTCCTGCAAATGGTGGATGAGCCGACCAGGAAAGGAGCGCTGCTGGATCTCGTCCTCACTAACAAGGAGGGTCTGCTCGAAGCAGTAAGGGTTGAGGGCTGCCTTGGTTGCAGCGACCACGAGATGGTGGAATTCAGGACCTTGTGTGGTAGGACCAGTAGAATACCAAGTAGAATTGCAACCCTGGACTTTAGCAGGGCAAACTTTGGCCTTTTCAAGCAATTGCTAGGAGAAATCCCATGGGCAAGGCTGTTTGAAGGTAAAGGGGCCCAAGATAGTTGGTTGACATTCAAGGATTGCTTTTTCCGAGCTCAAGATCAGAGCATCCCGACACGTAGGAAGTCAAGGAAGACGGCCAGGAGACCTGTGTGGCTAAATAGGGAATTGCTGGGTATGCTCAAGTGGAAGAGGAGAGTTTACAGGTCGTGGAAGGAGGGGCTGGCCACTTGGGAGGAATATAAGGCTGCTGCTAGAGGATGTAGGAAGGCAGCTAGGAGGACTAAGGCCTCCTTAGAATTAAACCTGGCAAGAAGGGTCAAGGACAGCAGAAAGAGCTTTTTCAAATACATGGCAGATAAAACTAACACCAGAGGCAATGTAGGCCCACTGATGAACGGGATGGGTGCCCTGGTGACAGAAGATACAGAGATAGCAGAGTTACTGAATGCCTTCTTTGTCTCTGTCTACTCTGCTGCAGGCAGTCCTGAAGAGCCCTCTACCCCTGAGACCTTAGATGAAGTCAGGTCAACGGAGCGGTTTGCCTTAGTCGATGAGGAATGGGTTAGAGACCAGTTGAGCAATCTGGACATCCATAAATCCATGGGTCCAGATGGGATGCACCCGCGGGTGCTGAGGGAACTGGCGGAAGTCATTGCTAGACCACTCTCCATCATCTTTACCAAGTCTTGGGAAACGGGAGAGGTGCCTGAGGACTGGAGGAAAGCAAATGTCACTCCAGTCTTCAAAAAGGGCAAGAAGGAGGACCCGGGTAACTATAGACCGGTCAGCCTCACCTCCGTCCCTGGGAAAGTGATGGAACACCTTATCCTTGGTGCCATCTTAAGGCATATCAAGGATAAGAGGGTTATGAGGGGCAGTCAACATGGCTTCACCAAGGGGAAATCATGCTTGACCAATCTCTTAGCCTTTTATGAGGAAAACACGGTGGGTGGATGATGGCAGAGCAGTGGATGTGGTCTACCTTGACTTCAGCAAAGCATTTGACACAGTCTCCTGATGAAATATAACAAGGGAAAGTGTAGAGTCCTGCATCTGGGCAGGAACAACCCCAGGTTCCAGTATAGGTTGGGGAACGACCTGTTAGAGAGCAGTGTAGGGGAGAGAGACCTGGGGGTCCTAGTGGACGACAGGATGACCATGAGCCAACACTGTGCCCTTGTGGCCAAGAAGGCCAATGGCATCCTGGCGTGTATTAGAAGGGGGGTGGTTAGTAGATCGAGAGAGGTCCTCCTTGCCCTCTACTCTGCCCTGGTGAGACCCCATCTGGAGTATTGTGTCCAGTTCTGGGCCCCTCAGTTCAAGAAGGACAGGGAGCTGCTGGAGAGAGTCCAGCGCAGGGCAACAAAGATGATTAAGGGAGTGGAGCATCTCCCTTATGAGGAAAGACTGAGGGAGCTAGGTCTCTGTAGTTTGGAGAAGAGGAGACTGAGGGGTGACCTTATAAGTGTATATAAATATATAAAGGGGGAGTGTCACGAGGACGGAGCCAGGCTCTACTCAGTGGCAAACAATGATAGGACAAGGGGTAACGGGTACAAACTGGAACACAAGAGGTTCCACTTAAACTTGAGAAGAAACTTCTTCTCGATGAGGGTGACGGAACACTGGAACAGGCTGCCCAGGGAGGTTGTGGAGTCTCCTTCCCTGGAGACATTCAAAACCCGCCTGGACACATTCCTGTGTAACATTATCTAGGTGTTCCTGCTCCGGCAGGGGGATTGGACTAGATGATCTTTCGAGGTCCCTTCCAATCTCTAGCATACTGTGATACTGTGAAAAGTTAGGTGAGATTAGTTTCTCTCCATGTTTTATTCCTTTCTTTTTTGGGGCAGTTTTCACCTAAGTGAATGTGTCCCAGCCAGGAATCTAGTCCAGGACATGGTGCGTTTCCAGCTTCCTTCACATTTAACAATCAACTGAAATTCAGTTGTTCTGCTGCTGCACTCAGCCTAAATGTGTCATGAGCTACAGCATGAAGAGGTTCTCATATACAGCATAATATATATTTAGCATGAGATAGGTCCCATCTGCTTCTTCTCTAAGATGTTCTCCTGCCTAAAAGTTGATTTGATGTTGCTGGGGGGCAGCCGCATAAGTCTGTTTTCTTCAATCACTGGATGAAGGAATTAAAGGAACCAGAATCTGACTTTACAGCTGGTAGCTCAAATTCAGCAGTGCTAAGGACTGACTTTTTTGCAGTGAGATGAGAATGGAAAACCCATTACCTCCAAGATGGCTGAAGCCACAGGCATCTGCCAGGACTTTGGTGAGATGGAGCTTACTGGCAGAGGTCTTGCTGGGGAGATGTGTCTGCAGAATGCAACTGGCAATAGCAGGAAGGAAAAACTCTTGTCAGCATGAAAAAGACTCTTGTCACTGCTAGCAGAAGGATGGGGAATAGCTGTCTGCCAACAACAGTGTGGATATCACAGCTGGCCATAAGTAACTTTACTAAGATGGAGCCTGGCCCTGCATAGGCATGAGCAGCATGTGAGCAGGGATTCTTGGCTTGAGCCAAGCTCTAGCTGAGTTCACTTTCTATAGGCTGAGTTCTATGTGAATTCACTTTTGCAGACTCAGAGTAACAAACAGCAGAAACAGCTGTGTTTCAAAGGCGAGCGTGTGATGTGGATCCAACCTACAACTCTCAAGGAATTGGTGGCTCTCAAATCCCAGTACCCCAATGCCAAGCTCGTTGTGGGGAACACTGAAGTGGGTAAGAAGAAGAGCTGGTGCTCACTATGAGCATTTGGAACGCTTTCCATGGAGTATTTTGTGAGAGCTGTGCAAGTGTAAACCTCCTTTATGCCGTTGCTGTTAAATAGGTGTTTAATCTTCAGGTTTTATGTAAGAATAGAATTTCTTCTTGGGTAGCTTCATCTCACAGTGAACGTTTTTCCCTGTTCTTTGCTGTGTTGGGTGAGAAAGCCATGCTTATCTAGACCTCTAAGCTTATGTGCTGGGTTTGTGGAATTTTGAGAAGAGGTGAGTGGCACGGCATAAAATGTCTTTGTAAACAAATTCAGTTGTGAAACCTGTGCTTTAAAAGGTTTGGCAGTGAGTAAACTGTTAAGACTTGAAATCTTACTGTTTCCCCCCCCCCCCCCCCCCCAAATATATGCTTCTGCAAACATAAGTGTTGAGGAGGAGAGTGCAGACGTACTTAATAATTCTGTTCTCCGGAGCAATTGGGAGACAATCCCCAAACTTTGTATTGTTCATGCATTCATTGTTCTTTCCTGAAGGATTATGTACAACAATAGCCAAGTTACACAAGTACTAAACAGTGTATTTTAGGTTATTGTAAGCCTAGAAAAGAGTCTCTAAAACTTCCCTATGAGAATTCCAGTATTAGTGGAAACCAGCTTCTCGTTTGGTATCTCTGTGACCTTATATAATCACAGATGGTCAATGAACTGACTCTTTAATAGGCTTGCTGCCATTTAATTGGGAAACAGCTCAGGCTCTCCATCATCTGTGTGTAACTGAAGGAGTCTTACTTTTCCTTAAGGTATTGAGATGAGGTTAAAGAACATGTTGTATCCGGTGATAATAGCACCAGCATGGATCTCTGAAATGAATGCTGTTCAGCACACTGAAACAGGTGAGCAACAAAGAGGCAGAATGTCTGTGAAGTGAGTAGGGACTCCTTCGAATAACAAAGAGGATATGAAGGAAAATCCCAAGATTAAAAACGGCTTTCTGTATGCATTAATTCCTCTCCCATGCAGGGAATCAAGTGAATGATATGTAAAATCAGTTTGAGAATCAGAGGGCTTTTACTAGAGAGTATATTAGACACTTTATCTGTTTGATGCATCATGTTTTAGTTATATTAACTGGGTTAATAATGGATTTCAATGAGCAGTCTTTTTAATTAGACAATTAGTAGCTGGGGGAAAGATGCTGGATTTGACCATCTAATGAACTAAGTGAAGTATTGCATTTATCTTTGTGGTGGGAACAGGTCAACCTTACAAATATTAAGAAGTAATCAGGACAATGTAGTGCATGTGGTCCAATGTTTGGTAGCGTGTTTAAGTTCTGGGAACTGGAGAGGAGTTGGAGTTCACTTCTCAAAGGATAAACTAATACCTATAGGAGGGCAATATGGTTCATGATACACTGAGGCAAGAGGGTATAGTGGGTTACTGTCATATGAGAGTCAGTACCACCATGAGCTGTGATTTAAAGGTGAATTTTGTTCTGGGGATGTGATGTTTGCGTGCAGTGCGTACAAAGTGTGGCTGAATGTCTTCTCTAAGCCCTGCTGTCTAATTAAACTCAGTGACATCTAAGCTTTGTAGACACAGTTATAACCATCCTCCTGTACTTTGGTGTTTTGGAGAGCAACAGTTCTTTTCATTTGTTTACAGGAATCACCTTCGGTGCTGCCTGTACCCTGAGCTCAGTAGAGGAGGTGCTGAGAAAAGCAGTGGCAGAGCTTCCTCCTTACAAAACAGAGGTCTTCCAGGCTGTCCTTGAGCAGCTGAGGTGGTTTGCAGGGCCACAGATCAGGAACGTTGCTGTAAGTGACTCGGGAGCATCAGGGACTAAAATTGAGAGCTCAGTCTGAGGAGCTGGCCTGCGTCATCCAATCTTGGTGTGCTGTGTGCTTCTCACGTGAGAACGTTTGCAAACCTAGGTAAAGAAGGTACTATGCGTAAATCAGCCCCAGGAACTGATAGCAACGTGGGTTTTGGTGCCTGTGTTCACAGGTTCAGCAAGCAAGGCAAACAGAAACGTGGCAGTTGTCCAGGTCTGTTATCAGAATAAGGGGGAAACGACTGAGATTTGACTAATTTAACAAGTATGTATGTAGAGTGCTGAACAAACCTCAAAGAAGCAGCTGTGTAGATTTTTGCCAGCACAACTATGGTAGTCACAGTGTTAATGCATCAGATGTGGCAAATCTACCTCTAGTTTTAAAGGGAAGGAAGAGGTGGGTTTGATGTGTTCAGACTTCACATACTAAAAGGAAAGAAATATGAAGCAAGCAGATGAACCAGCCTACCAAACATGAAATTTTGCTCCACAAGATAGTGTGCCATTTGTATCATAGCCAAAACTTGGGTTCCTGAATATTACTGAAAAGATGCTCCACAGTTTCATGGCTCTTCCCTTAACTGCAGCTATAGTGAATTTTGGTATTGTCGGGTACATGTGGTTTGAGCATATGGTAGTTCTGATGCATTACCCAAAGAGTGTTCCTAAAACAGTCTTACCTTATCTGTCTTATCTGTCTTATCTGATGACTGCATTATAATTCTAGGCTCTTGGTGGGAACATAATGACAGCAAGCCCCATTTCTGACTTAAATCCTGTGTTAATGGCAAGTGGAAGCAAATTGACTTTGGTGTCAAGCGGTAAGTTAGTTGCATTTCCTTGTGGCACTTAGGGGAGTAGGATAGTCAACAGTTCTCTGCCATGGATTATTATGTTTGGTCAGAATTTGAAGGTGGAAATTAACATTACATTTGATCCTTGTGGACTTTGCAGATAAAGATTGAAACTGTTGTTTGTTTTGTTTTTGGGTTGTTTTTTTTTTCCTATGAAGAAAGCCAGATGTCTTAATTTGTATTTGATCTTGTGAAGAATTTTTTTGGAATAGGATCCCTGAAATGGAGTGTCTGATCAGTGACTTTCTCTTGTGTGCTGGCTATGGAAAGGGTAAAGAGGGAATTACACCGGGTTGTTGGAAACTGGTTCAGCTGGAGGCTCAGCTATAATCAGATAAAGAAGGAGGGAGATCGATCAGTTCCTGTCTAAATAAAACTTTGTATGTAGGCAGAAGCTGTCATAGAGTCCTAAGGACCAAAGCAAATCTGGGAAAATCCTTCCTGACTTAGTGAGAGGGTGGCAAAATGAAAACTGGTATCATATCAAGAGTGATTTCTGTAGGTTGAAGGATCTTTTGGATCTTTTACACATACTATTGCTGAGCTTTATCTGAGTTATTAATCCAGCTGCCATTGATCTCTTCTTGCTCTACAGAGGGCAAAAGGACTGTCACGATGGATGAGAAGTTTTTCACTGGATACAGAAAGACAATAGTTAAGCCTGAGGAAATCCTTCTCTCGGTTGAAATACCCTATAGCAAGAAGGTAAGTTTGTAGGAAAAGACTTCAGTGTTTGTGGAGCTGAAATGCTGTTATTTGGCTGTTATTTTCAGTGTTAGGCACTCTTTCACTTTGAGACTGAACTCCAAATGGTTACGTGTAGTCCCAGGTGGACCAGGAAGGAAGGAGATTATTTGGTGAAAATCTAGCAACATGCTCTTTTTGACAAGCAAGGGAAGCTGGGCTTTAGCATAAAGTATGGTAAGCCCAAGAAGTTTTCTAGTGCAAGAAATATGAATTTCACTTCATTGTCCGGAGGTTTTTGAGTGCATTTAATAATGATGAAAGGTGACAAAGTGATGCTCCCAAGGAATCTGTTTGCAAAATATATAGCAAAGACGCTAGTAGTTCTGAAGTGAAGGTTCTGGAGGTTCCTTCTTCATTTCTGTGAACTGAAATGGGAAAAGAAATGTGGAAAAGTGTGTATGGATAAGAGGGAAGTTCAGTTTCTGCATCCTTGACTTGCAAGACTGAAACCAGAAGGACTGATTATTAGGGCATTTTGGCAATGTGGATTTGCAAATTCAAACGAGCCCGTGAAACTTCCTTCAAATAGAACAATGAACGCTTCTGTAGCAGCATGAAGCATAATCGAAGCAGAGTACCTAAGAAGTAAACCTCCCCTTTCTTCCTTTTAGGGTTCAGAACATCAGACTGTATTTTTATGGCTGTAAAGGTATTTACCTTTTTAGGGCTTGAGGCTACAAGTTATACAGCAATTCACAGTGTAGTGTGTAGTGACCCCTCCATTCATATGACAGTCCTAGGGCAATTTCACAAGGCAAACTTTTACCAGTAGGGCAGTGGCTTCCTCCCTAGGTTATATGCAGCTCATTGATCTGAAAAACTAAACCAACTTTTGAACTCTCTGCTCCATGGTTCTTTGGCTGATCTTTGCTCATAAACATGAAATCACAGAGACTAAAGTTCTTCAGGGGACATCTGAAGGTGCTGGCATGTGGCAGGCAAAGTCTTCTGGAACTGTGGTTTCCTCACAACTGGAAGCAGGGCTGTGTCAGCAAACAGATCAATGTTTTGTTGTTGTTCATGCTTGTCTGATGTTACCTCGTGCACTGGTGTGACCTGTCACACCAAGGTAAGAGTGGCCAAACCCCAGAAATAGTAAGACTAAAGAAGTTTAGCAGTTTACACATTAAGTGTCACTGTAGGGGGACTGAGCTCAGGGTAGGCTTTGTCACAGAGAGTGTGCAGTAAGAGAAGAGGCTGCTTTTTCTCTTCTTTGAAAGCGAACTGGTTTAACGTTCAGCGTGGCAGAATGTCCTCACTGGGAGGATGCTAGCGATGCTTCTCTGCTATTACCTGCTGACTGCCCACTAATTACTTGAATTCAGGAAATGAAACACACCCTTCAGTTATATCTGCAATAACAAGCTCTCGATGCATAAAAGGGACTTCTTGTGAAACTGTTCTCCTTGACAACAACAGAGGAGTTGTTCTTTACTATAATGGAAGAACTGCTGTCCACTTCTGAGGAGAAATAATTAATGGAACAGACTGCTGAGCTGTACAGTCACTTGGCTAAGCTACTACAGAAGAAACTTGGCAGAAAACTCTCAGGAAGGGCCATGCAAAGACATTGGATCTGATTCCTCGCTTAGTCTGTAAGATGCCTCAACAGAAATTTGTCATAACCTGCAGAACAAGCAAGGGGGAAAAACTTGACTGTGACTCCAGGATGACACCATCATTCAGTGTATACTGGCGGAGTGTTATCTCCTATTTATTGCCACTCTTCATAGGAGAACTGCTGAGTTGTATGGGTTGCTGGTGCACTTAAAAGAATTTCCTCACTCTTTGGAGACCAGCAGAAGATTCAGGGTGGTTACAGAGAATTGTATGTGCAGTATCAGATTGAAATTGTCTTTTATTAATTAGTCTGGGAAGTTTAGATTGGATATAAGGAGGAAGTTCTTTACTGTAAGAGTGGTGAGGCACTGGAATGGGTTGCCCAAGGAAGTTGTGAATTCTCCATCCCTGGCAGTGTTCAAGGCCAGGTTGGACAGAGCCTTGGGCGACATGGTTTAGTGTGAGGTGTCCCTGCCCATGGCAGGGGATGGAACTGGATGATCTTAAGGTCCTTTCCATCCTTAACTATTCTATGATTCTATAACTGTGAGACATCTGTGGTCATTGATTTCAGTTCTTGCAGAGTTCAAAGACTTCCAAAGGGAAGGGATTTAGGATCTGTGTTTTACTGATGAGGCTTCCAGCTGAGGAACTGTAAACTTGTTTATATACAAATATATGTCCCGGTTCTTCCTCTCAAGATACGTACAGGCAGATCTCAGTCAAAGCTCATTTCCCACACAGTCCTAGGCTGGCTAGTAAGCACTGATCTAATACATCAGAATTAATTGTTGAATCATGTGAAAATATACAGCACTGCATGAACAAAAATGTCCTGCTTGGCCCTGCAAGATGAAACAACCGGATACAGTTCCCTGGAGTAGCTCATCCATGTAGAGACATGGGTTAATGGCTTGTCCATATTTATACTCCAAAGCATGCCAAGGCAGAGGATAAAGGAATATTTTCCTCTCTCCTAGGGTGAATACTTCTCAGCTTTCAAGCAGGCTTCCCGTCGGGAGGATGACATTGCTATTGTGACCTGTGGGATGAGAGTCCTGTTCCAAGATGGCACTAGCCGAGTGGAGGACATAAAACTAAGCTATGGAGGAATGGCTCCAACAACTGTCCTGGCACTCAAAACCTGCCAGGAGCTTACTGGCAGGTAGGAACTTTTCTATGATAGAAAGGCTGCTTAATGGAACAGTGCTGATTTTTACAGGAGCATAACAGATACTCTAAGGGGAAAGAGGAAGAAGTGTAGCTATACTTCTGCAGCAGTCTGCGTTTTGCATGGTGCCTTGCTTCCTCCAGTGCTCCTTACCCTCAAAGATCCATGTCAGTGTCTCATTCAGAGAGCTGTTTCCATGCTAAATTCACCGTTGGTTGACATGGGCAGAAGCTAGGTGTGGGCATGACCTACAAAACTGATTTTTTTCAAACTGGGCTGAGAAATCTGCACTCTTTAATAGCTTTGCCACATCTTTAGAAAAGATGATGTAAGCCCAAGATGAGAGCAAGGCTTACACATATACTATAAGCAGAGATAGAACAGATGTTGCTTGAGTGCTTGTGGGGCTGCATGTCAGAAGAGTTATTCTGCCCTGGTGATATTTAGGGCTGAGGGAGGGCTCAGTGTCACCTTTGTTCCCTTTCAGAGACTGGAATGAGAAGCTGCTGCAGGATGCCTGCCGCTTACTGGCAGGTGAGATGGATCTGTCCCCTTCTGCGCCTGGTGGGATGGTGGATTTCCGACGCACGCTCACGCTCAGCTTCTTTTTCAAGTTCTACCTGACGGTCATTCAGAAGCTGAGCAGGGACCACAATGGCACTGTGAGTGCTGCTGGGGGAAGGCAGACTTGGGGAAGGAGGACCTGTATGTGTTGCTTGGTGGGCAGGGTTCAGATTCAAGGAGAGCTGTACCTCATAGCAAGCTCCATGTTGCAGCAGATGCTGGAGTTACTCCTCACCTGCATGGCAATGATGATTAGTGCATCTTCCCACTTGCTTCCTCATGGCATCCCCACTTTGCTGTGGAAGGATGGTGTTCTTGTTATATTACAACTGCTGTGGGTCTGTGGCTGTTCATTGCACAGAGCCTGAGTCCTGTTTGCGTTTTACCCAGTAAAAGATGAATTATCTTCACTGGAAGATGGAAAATGAAGAATATCCTGGGCTACTGGGGAACATGAGAAAGGGACTGGCAGGGAAGATGATTGTTTTTTAATGTCTCTGGCAGAACAAACTGTGTGAGCCTGTCCCCTCAAGCTACGTCAGTGCTACAGAGCTGTTTCACAAAGATCCCATTGCAAATGCCCAGCTCTTCCAAGTAAGTAGCAGTACTTGCATGGTGTAGACCTGGGTTTTTCTGTAGCTCAAACTGTGCTTATCTTGTCTCCCTGAGTATGGGCAATATGTGAACTCATGTAATGCCATTTCTGAGGCTTGTATTGGGATCTCAGTCCCTTCTTTGCTTTAGTATACGATGTTCTTTCCTCTCATTGCCTGTGACTGTTCTTGGCATGTACAGCTTCATAGAAATGCCGTGGCTAGCAATGTCCTCCTGCAGCCGGCTCCATATCCAGACTGATATTTCCCTTCTGCTTTCCCCATTTACAGCCTGCTTTTCTTTGCATATCTCAGGCTTCAGATACAGGATGTGTCTTCTTCCTTGTTTCTCCATTAATGACCCATTCACTTCAGCATTGAGAGCAGAAACTAGCTTCCAAACTTGAACCTTTTATGCAAGCTGTAACATCAGACCCTTCTTTTCCATGGTGGTTTCCAGAACCAAATCCCTTTCACTTCGTTCTCTACAGCTCCTTCTGTGTAGCCACTTGGTCTTGTTTACCTTCCTTTCTGACAGGCACAAGCCCTCATCCCATTCCCCATCTCACCAGAATGTCTCATGGTGCTTTTTGCTCTTCCTTCAATGCTTCTGCATCTGCAGTCTAAGCAGTAGTAGTCAGCTGTGTGTTTTACTCCAGGAAGTGCCCCGGGGGCAGGCAGTTGAAGATATGGTGGGCCGGCCTTTGATGCACGTTTCAGCAGCCAAACAAGCATGTGGAGAAGCTGTTTACTGCGATGACATCCCTCACTATGAGAACGAGCTGTATCTAACGCTGGTGACCAGCACCAAAGCCCATGCTAAGATCCTGTAAGTGTTGCTTTTGAGTTTCAGATGTCGGAAGCATCCAGTGCCTGGTGGTTTAGAAAACACTGACCTGTCAAGCTGTGGGTGAAGGAAATGTTTTTGCAGTAGGGGGAACTCCAGTTTGTTGCACGTCGTCACGTGGAGGTGAGCTGTATGTGTTACAGCTGCCTTGCAAGTCCTAGTCAGTGAGAATATGAGGGAATTAACACCGAGCTCAAAGCTTTGCTGAAGCACAAAGCCCTCAGCAATAGGCAACCTCCTTGCATGTTGCATCTCTTGTACTCCAGCATGAAGGATTAGAAAGGAGGAGGGTAGGAGAGCACCACAATGAGCCATTTTATCACTAACGAGAGCGTACAGCTTAAACATGCTTTTCCCCATCTGCCTAAAAATTTAGGTTGTAACATGCAAATCTACCACAGTACTCCTGCTGATGAGTCTTCTGCACAGTGCTTGCTTACACTGGCTATGATCAAGCTGTCTGCGTAACAGCCCTGTGTGTGTTAATTTCAGCTATTAGATGTAGATATGTAGCAAGGTGGATAGGTCAGTGTTTGGAATGTAGATTACTCTGAAAATATCTTGTCCATGCAGGGCATGACTGATGCATAATTTGTAACAATAGTGACTAACCAACCCTAAAATATCTATGCTGGCAGGTAATGCCATCTGCATTCTCATATGAGCTTTAATGCTGCTTTATTGTGGGACTCGCTGCCCCCCACAATCCCTAATTGTGTTGGTTCTGTGGGCTCGTCTGCCTTCAACTACTTTGATGTGGGATGCTCTGTGTTATATTGCCTCATGTCATCCTCAATAGCTTTGTGATGTGCTGCTCATTCCTTAGGCAATACTTCCTGCCTATTTAGGCTTCCTGTCCAGAGGTTTCCCACAGTGGTCTAACACAGGATGGGCAGTATGGTGGTCATGGATGCAGAGATGTACTAGTCAGCTCTTGGGTTAAGAAATTGCTCTGTCATCCATGTTACATCTTAGGTGTTGCAAAGCAGTCATTGATGAGTGCTACAAATGCATAAACACTGTTACTACTACCAGTGCAGACGGGGCAATAGAGAAAGCATCAGATCTATGCCTGTGACCACAACATGCACTATTTTCTAATTACACCTTCTCTTGCATTTCCGTTGCACGTTGATCTTTCGAGCTGTGAGCCTGTGTGGTTCTATAGAGGAAGAAGTAGCATATTTCATCGGGTGACAGAATTACCTCAGCCTATGGTTTTGGGGGTCTGAAAACTTCCACTTCACCCGAGTCAGGTTGTGACTACCAAGTGTAAATTCAAAATCGTCTGCCTCTGTATTTCCAACTAAGGGAAGCTGTCAGGGGATTGTTTCTGAGGCATTCCCATGCAGAAGCACGGGAAAGTGAACTTTCCAAAGAAATATAGCGCTGTCTTCAGTTCCTGCTGTCAGAGTTCATGTGGGAAAGTTCATTCATACATTTAATGTCTCCTTAAAGAAGTCTGTCACTCACTGGGATGCATAAACAGCTACTTCCAGGCACAGTTTGTATTGGAGTTTCGGGAATCTAAACAGGCATGCTGAAAAAATGGCAGCAATTTACAGAGGACAATAAATCATTCAGTTAAGCAGCAACAAAGCCACAGCTTTTCTATTCACACCAGGTCCCTTGTAAAGCAAGCCAATTATGCAGCCAGTGTGCAAAATACTGCGGAAGGAGCTTGAAAGTCTTTTGTAATAGATTTTTTTTATGTGCTTCGTATAAAAACTGAATTATATTGCATTTTTCTAGTTACTTTCTATCCTTCTTGTCACTTAGTTTTAAATCCGTATATGATTGAAGCAGACAAGCGTTTTGGTTAGCTACCTCTTTTGCAGATTACCAGGAAAAGCCTTTCATGAAGCTTTTTGCTTTTGGAGCATCATTTCGTTTGCATCCTTTTAAATGCCCTTCAGCTTCCTTGTGATTGATACTCAATAACTTCTTCCTGACTTACAGGCACATTTTTATCTAGAGGTGAACCCACGGTAGATGGTAGATGTCTGCAGTAAGAATTCATGTTTATCAAATAGGGAGGAATTTTGTCTTCACAGAATCATGGCAGCTGAGAAGACAGTGGATACAAACCATCACTGACACCAGTCTGTCTTTGGCAAAGGATGTCAAGGGCTCTGTACATGTGGCAACTGGGTCAAATTCAGATATGTTTTAGGGAAAAAGATGTATGATACAGTATCATCCAATGCAGCAGACTGATGATAAAGCTCAGTTGGGATTCAAATTATCATATAGATTGCATAAGTTTTTGGTCTAACACATCCTTTCTACATTGGTTCACATGATATTCATGTAACAAATTCCTTCTCTTTTTCATAGCCAGAGAATAAGGCCTGAAAATGTATTGGTATCTCATGAATGCTGACAAAGAGGAAAAATGAGAAATAATAACGCTGCCTCTCCTCCTTTCTTTCTGTCTTCAGTTCTGTAGATGCATCTGAAGCCCAGAGTGTTCCTGGGTTTGTGTGTTTTGTCTCCGCCAAAGACGTTCCTGGCAGTAACATCACTGGCATCGCTAATGATGAGACTGTCTTTGCTGAGGATGTGGTATGTGGATAAGAATAGCTTTTCTCAATCACACTGCCCAGGAGATAAGGTTTCTCGTATTTCCAGTGAAGCCCTCTTCTTTATACAGAGATAAAACCTAACTATTGGATCAATCTTGGTGCCCAGTTCAATAAGGCCTTGGTCCCGTTGTCCTGTGCCCCTCTCTCTGTTATCATAGAATCACAGAATGGTTTGGGTTGGAAGGCACCTTAAAGACCATCTAGGGACAACTTCCACCACACCAGATTGCTCAAAACCCTGTCCAACCTGGCCTTGAACATTGCCAGGGATGGGGCACCCTGTGCCAGTGCCACACCACCCTCACACTGAAGAATTTCTTCCTAATGTCCAATCTAAATCCCCTCTGTCAGGTTAAAGCCATTCCCCTTGTCCTATCACTACATGCCCTTGTAAAAAGTCCACCTCCAGATTTCCTGTAGGCCCCATTTAGGTACTGGAAGACTGTTACAGGGTCTCCCTGGAGTTTTCTCTGTGCTGTTGTCCTTTTGGCTGCAGGCCACTGGGATAGGCTCACTCACTCTGTTACTGTCCAAAATTGTTTGTGATCATTTTCCCTTGGCTGGTTTTAAACAAACTGGTCTGAACAAGCAGCTGCAAAAACTGCACAAAAGGAATAGATGGAGATAATTATCATGAGCCTCTCCATTACTGCACGTAGACACCAAATGATGGTGGGTCCTAATCTTGCCTGTAGGTCACTTGTGTTGGTCATATCATTGGTGCAGTCCTTGCAGACACACAAGAACATTCCAGAAGAGCAGCTAAAGCTGTGAAGATTAAGTATGAAGAGCTCAAACCTATTGTCACGATTCAGGTAAGATGGCTCAGATCTGGTTCTGCAGTTAGCTTGAGGCCCCCTGATCTCTTATTAACTTCTATTGTCACTCATGGTTATTAAACCACGCGTTTTGTTAGTCTTTGTGGGTGCAGCAGGATATGGAGAGAGGGGATAATATGCATATTTAAATATAAAGAGGACACACCTATGATATAGTACTGATTGGGAGTATGTTAACTTGTTGTGTGTTATTTGAAGCTAAAAGAAATTATATCATGCTCAGCAAAGATTTGTTGAAATTAACTAGGGTCCTATCAGTTACATTCTTCCCAATGTGTTTGTTTTCAATATTCTCTGGTCTGACCCTGCTGGCTTCATTGGTATTCATTTATTCTTCATTCTGATTTATAACACTCAATAATAGGGTGTGGAAACGTTTTCTTCTAGCTCTGTCACTGTACTGCTTCTCTGGGATTTCTGCAGACCACTTGTCTGCTTTCTAAGCTGATGAAATCAGTTTTCAGCAGGAGTTCAGTCTTCACTGTGAACATTTCCGCTGACTGTATGGACACAACCCTGAGATGGCTTTTTCTCAAAGCTGAAGAAGATAATGTCAACAATTTGCCATCATTTCATGCCTTTTTTTTAACTAGAAAGCTTGTTGACAAGATTTGCTTATGTGACAGTAAAAGCAAAGAGTATCTAATACAGCATTCAAATCCAGACATGAGAAAGAAATGCCTGAAGCCGTTCTTATGGGGGGAGAAATCAGAGCCATGGGATTCTAATTAATTTTGTAATGGTCAGTATGGTCATACCTTGCATTTTGTAATGCGAATTGTATTCATGCAAATACAAAGAGTCTGTGCATTGTCTAGTGCAGATGCTGGCGCTGTCATCTGTGGACAGAGCTTTTGGTTTATATGATTTGTGGGTTCACAGACAACGTGTGCGCACTTTTTTGAGGCTTCTAGCTGTTTATTCAACCAGGGGAGATGGAATAGAGCCAAAAATGTGCTGATTTTTGTCGTCGTTTGGGCATTCTGAGGATTTTGTTTTCCACTCTGGAAAGCTTCAGCGAAGGTGAAATGTGTTTATAGAACTTCCCCAGGAAGGATTATTGTATATGAGCTCAGAAGTGAACTATTTCTGCAGAAGTTCTCATCCTGTCGGAGAGGTTTTAGTTTTCTCCTCTCTCATTGTTTGTTTCCTTTTCCTTTTCCCCCTGTTCTTGTCCACGGGCTGTTCTCAGGTTGTAAGTCATAGCTCTGGTGGCTACAGACCTTGGGATTCTGGGCCCGTGATGTAAAATGGGTCACAAGGAGCAATCTGAGACTGTCCAGTTCTGGTGTTTATTGTGAAATTGCTGAGTTGCCAAAAACTATTACGTGCTGCTTTAAGTCAAGTCACTTAGCTTTTACCATACTGAGTGTCTGATGAGTTATTGAGCTTTTTATCTTGGGTATTTATTCTTCAATCAGACGAAGTTTTGTTTTCACTCAAAAATTTCATTGTGTCGTTACGTTTCCTAGGAAGCTATTGAGAAACAATCCTTCCTTAAGGGTATAAAGAGGATTAAAAAGGGAGATGTGAAGAAAGGATTTGAAGAATCTGATCACATTTTGGAAGGTGAGAATAAGCATCAACGTTTCTATTAAAATAGGGTGATTTTTGACAAAAGAGGTGAAGCATCATGCTTGGTTTTATGCACATGATACTGGACTCATGAAAGTAAGGCTTGCGGGGCTAAATGTCATATTCAGTTTCAGATGAATGTTTATACACAAATAGCTTGTGAAAGATGTAATTTCAGTTTCCGACAAACTTTGGTGCTTCCAGCTGTGCCCCTGCAAACGCTCTCTTCCAATGTAAGGACACATCTTCTTAAGCAAATATTCTTGTGAAAAAGTGAGGTTTTTTTCCCCTCCCTGAAACTTATTCATGTAGGAGCTTTTCCCTGTCCAGGCATAGTGTGGTCTAAATCTTATAGATAGTTTCCTATAATCTGGTACCACTCTATGTTATGAATATGTGTCATGAATGAATGTTATGAATACATTGTCTGAAATGTTATGAATGTTATGAATACATTCTGTGTTATGAATACTGTGCCTGAAACCTGATCCACCGATGTTGGTGGCTGTAGGAATCGTGAAGAACCTGGCACTGCCCTGTAATGCTTTCTCGATGTTGATGGTTGGCCTGTCTTAGAGGATGGAGGGGGATTTGATGTACTTCTTGGTTTCATTCCGTTGGAGTCTGCCAGGTTGTAGGGACATGGGTAAACGCAGCAGTTACCAACAACTGTTGAAACCCTCTGAGAGTTAGGAAGGGAGAGTGCCAGAGCTGTGGTCTGGAATACTCTGTCAGACCCCTGCCATTGCTTGGTGTATATACCACCGAGCAATAGCTCCTGGGAGGAAGACCTTTACAGAACTGTGTATTTATCAATAAGAAGGTGATGTATCCCTCTTACAGATGCAAGAAGGAAGTTACATCAGTTACAGACACAAAGCCTGGTGTGAAGGGAGTATTCTTGAAGATCATGGAGAAGCATGCCCCCTTACCTCCACGTGGAGGAAAGGAGAGTTATTTAACTGAAACACTAATTTCCAGCTTTACCATTTGTTGTATGCATTGCTGAGAGCTTCCTCTGCAATCAGCAATTGGTGCTGGCACTTGAAAGGTGTCATAAGCTATTGTTAACTGTTTCTTATCGTGTACTATACTGTGCAAAATGAAAACACTGTGCCAAGCAAGGCAGAAACTGTTCTGAGCTAGAAGAATAGGTTATTTAAAAGGCTGCAATACTGTGGGAATGCCAGGCCAACCCCCTCGAGGAGACAAGGGGAGGGACCCTGCTGTGTACCAGAGTAGGCGTTGTCTCACACAAATGTGCATTTCTCACTGATGTACCTAATGAAGGCAGCTATTTTGTTGCTGCTGAATTAAATAAAAGGGAGAGAGGAAGAGGACTTTGAGAACTGCACTGAATATTAATTTTCATGGCAGCTGAATAGATCAGGGTCATGGCTGAGAAAGGAGGCTGATTCTGACATGTATAGCGCGTAACATGACTGGAAGTTGTACCCTCAGCACTGCCAGGTAAAATGTCCTGGGGAAGAGCCACATGCAATGACAGAGTTAATTCTCAGTTAGATCATCTTAAGGCATTTTGGACTTCTATTTTTGTTCCCCTGTTTCACAGTCTGTAACCTTGGATTTGACCTGCTCAGCTAGTTGATTTATTTTTATCCGTCATCTCGGAGGTGTTATCAGGGCAGTCTGAAAGGCACCAAACCCTGCATCTTAAGGGTCAATGGCATAGTGTGCAGGCTTATTCTTGAAACGCCAGTCACTTGGTTTGGACTAAAGATGTCTAGAAAGTGTGCATCTGTGGGGTCTGGTTGGGGTTTCTGGTTTTTAACTTTTCGGGATTTTTTAATGTCAAATCAGAAGTTTCAGTTTTAGGGTTTGGGATATCCAGTCTGTGCAGTGCAAAGGGTTGCTGTGTCTAAAGGGTAGTAGCCTGCAGGCAGCACACGATGGGAGACACCTTATAACACCAGAGACACCCTACCTTTGGGGCATTTCTTTCTGTTTTCTAGGAGAGATGTACCTTGGTGGGCAGGAGCATTTCTATCTGGAAACTCATGCCACTCTGGCTGTGCCAAAGGGGGAAGATGGTGAGATGGAACTCTTTGTGTCAACCCAAAACCTTATGAAGACACAGGTACTGTCTCGTTGACCTGCTACCTAAAAGGCATTTGTTTCTCAATTTTGGACTAGATAAATGGTTTTTACAGTTGATCCCATGTTGTCTTGATTAAAAGAAACCACATAGGCGTAGAGTTGGGTATGGGATCTGAAGTCCATATCCATCCTACTGGTGTCCTGAACCTGCTTGCAGATGGCAGGTATGTTTCTGTTGGCAGCATATCTTTGTCACCAGGGGTTAATGCTTAACCCTTTCTGGAGAGGGTGACAGCTGGTCAGTAGGCATGGCTGTTGAATGTTATGTCGGGAAGAGAGGTGGTATAAATGCTGGCTATATATGTACCAGCTTTACCGTATTGCAAGATAGGCTACTGGCACTATGGGGTGGCTTTGACCTGTCTCCTGACTCACCAAGGCTGACCAAAGGTTTCATAATAGAGTGAGGAGAATGGGCAGAGTGGTTTGGTCATCAGAACCTGTCTTGTATGAGACCTTTGTCTTGGTAGCCTCATCTCATGTTAATCTCTTCCTGAATGCTGAAGCACTGTGTGCCTGCCCACATCAGGGATGAAATACTGGGCTTATTGGTTCCAATTGCATCAAATCCAATTGCAGGACCAATAGGACCTGCAGCGCAACAGAGTATTTGCACTGTTGCAATGGCTGTAGAAAGGCAATGTGTTAATATCTAGCTCCTAACACCAGCAGAGCTCCGTACATGTTCTGCTGTTCTGTTGTTCTTTAGGAGTTTGCTGCTAATGCACTGGGAGTCCCTTCAAATCGGATTGTGGTGCGAGTGAAAAGAATGGGAGGAGGATTTGGAGGAAAAGAGACTAGGAATACTATTTTGACCACTGCAGTGGCTGTTGCAGCCTTCAAGTAAGTTTGGATGTGGGGAACAGGGCTTTTTCCTTTCAGACTGTGCCAGCCTGCTTCTTTCTGGAGCATTATTTACACTGGAGCATATACAGATTCTTCATGTCTTGTTACTCTACAGTTTATAGCAAGCCTAGGACTTCCCAAAGGAGGTGTCTAGTGGGCTCTTAGCTGGTAGGAGTGATTGAGCCCACTCAGAGGGGTGAAGCTTATGTGGGAATATCAGCTTTCAATAGGAGAGGGGGAAAAACCCCCTTACTCTGATATTCTTTGGGAGCAATCTGAAAACTCTCACATCTTGAATTATCTGCCTCTCCACTTCACCCCAAACCCTTTCGAAATCCAGCACTAGCCATGCTTATTGTTTTGTCTAACAGCAGTTTGAGAGTCTCTTCCTTGCTTAAAAGTCTACTACGCCAGCCTTGCACTGCTGTTTCCGTGCTCTTCTGCAAACTCTCTCTTTGGATTTTTCCCTAGGAAGGGTGGCCACTGGATAGAAATCCATACTTTTCAAGCCCCGTAAAGCTCAGGGAATGAACCTAGACTCTACTCGTTTGTGAAGTAGACTGGAAATGTGCTTCTGATTTCTGGAGTCTCGATATTTGCACACGCTGCAAGTTTCTGTGGCTGTGATTGAACATGGCCTTCCCAGCACTGCCCTTGTAGGTGAGGATGCGCCCTGCTGGCAATGCTAGATGGATCTTGCGACACAGCAGCAACTTAATAAAACACCCTTAGAGGAAAACAGCCAAAAGGCAGCTCCTGTAGTTAAATAGCTTTATTTTCCTATTCTGAGCAAACCACCTGCTTTCTCTGATTAATCAGTAATACATGTGAATTTTTTTCTTTCCTTTATTTCTGTGAGCCGAACCACTGTTTCGTATCCCGGAGGATATGAAATAACATCTATGGCATTCCTTAGGTATTTTTACAACCTGAAGATAGGCACTGGAAAGGCAGAATTGTCAGAAAATGCAGAGCAACTTCTCTTCTCTTAGCATTATTATGTAGTTCATATGGCATTCTCTCTTGCAAAGCCAAGAGAATGCCTTAAGAAACACTCTGGAAAACAGTGATTGCTCAGTTATGAGTTTCTGTCCTTGTAAGAAACTATTCTTTTTAATATAAAAGTCTCTGCAAGAGTTTTCATGAACAGGTCCCAACCTCTAAGATTTTTTTTGGTTGGTAGGTTTTTTTTTTACCCAATTGTGCCATTTTCTGAAAAGGAGGATCTGTGAACCAAGCAGTTAACCCTTAACCCCCCATTGCTGCTCTGGAAGGACAATGCTCACCAAAAAGAAGAGAGGCTTGCTCTATAGGAGCTGTATTGTGTGTTTCAGGTTTTGCCTGATAAATGTGTTCTTTAACAGAACTGGCCGCCCAGTACGGTGCATGCTGGATCGAGACGAGGACATGCTGATAAGTGGTGGGAGACATCCCTTCCTGGGGAGGTACAAGGTATGCATACATATGAAATGAATGCGTGGTGTCTCGGTGTTATCACCTGAAACACCAGAGAGTAGTAAAATACTGTGGGGAAAAAAGTGCTGCTCTGGCTGTTTCACTGCTGATGTCCCTGCTGCAAATGGATCAGGTCAGCTGGGTTATGGCATTTTCCCTCTTGAAGTCCTCCAGTCCTTCTTGTGGTTTGGATTGTTCACTACGTGTGATCTCAGCATCAACATTCCCCTCTTCCTTGCAACCAAGACTTTGCCCCTGTTGACAGTCACACTGCTCTTAGATGCTTCCCCATTTGTTTAGGGTATGGTACTACTGTTTGTTTTGTTAATGTCCTTTCCTCTTCAATCCCCATCCAACTGCTTTTCAAAGCAAAAAAGCAAAGAGCTGGTAAGGAAGGTGTGGCTGTGACAAGTGGTTACCACATGTTTTAGAAGAGTTCTCTGGATCGAGATTAAGATGCATAAGTGGCCCCTTTACTGGGAAGCTTCCTCAGTAGCTGCCTGTGCTGCAGCAGAGGACAGTCAGCCTTTTGGCCATGTAATGTCCATTCATTTGGTTTGTGGAGGGAAACACAAAACAGAACATCATGTAGAAAGCCAGTTACTGAGGAGACTCTCTTGACAGGTTGGCTTCATGAAGAATGGGAAAGTCAAGAGTCTAGAGGTTTCATACTACAGCAATGGGGGCAACTCTGTAGACCTCTCTTATGGGGTAAGTAAAACTTTCTGATGGCTTCAGAGAGTTATTGCCTGCAGCACTGCTTGCCCATCCTGCTCCCTGACATGACTGAAAGCAGTCCTTGATTGGTTTTTGCAGCTTCTACACCGGCTCTTTGAGTCAACTGACCTGCCTTGGCATGTGCCACATAATACTTATTGAAGCTGAAATGACTTGGATAAGGCAAAAGGGTCAAGAAAGTTTGCTTTGCATTACAGAGGGCTATGGTGAGAAACTTGTTGCTCAACACAAGATGACTGATAGTTCCTCAGCTTTGGGGAAAACTTGTTCTTTGGAATAAGAAACATCCAAGCCAGCAGGCTGCTCTGGGCAGAGTGCCTGAATCAACAAGCTTGTTAAGGATGGGCTAAAACTGACACTGGCTTCGCAAGCACTAAAGGACAAGAATGGGGCTCAGTTCTGAGTTTGTCTTTAAGATTTTTTTCTGCTGATGAGTAAAGAAACCTCTCCTTTTTTTGTCACGTGAGTGACCAAGCTGCTAACCTAGTGTCAGTCATGTTTATTTTAGCTCCCTTTCTCCCTTTCTGGTTCTTCGGGGCGGGTAATGGTATTTAGTAGCAGTTTGGCTCAGCACAAGACCAGGGCCGACAAAGGAATGTGAAGGTCAATCTGTCAGCAACAGAGAAAGGTGTTTATTGTCCTGTCCTTCAGGAGGATGCCACTTGCCACTCCATTGCAAATGGGACAGAGTACGGCTTGCCCCGCAGAGCTCATCCAGCTGTGTTGAGTGGAACTGCAGGGTGGAAGAGAAAGAACCAGTGGCTCTACATTAGCTTCAGAGCTTTCCAGCCTGGCTTTGACAGCTGGTGAGAAGTCTGACATGTGAGCCATGTAATGTGTCCACCCACATTCCTTCTCTTTACCAGGTTATGGACAGAGCCCTGTTACATTTGGATAACTCCTACAACATCCCCAATGTCAGCAGCGTGGGCATTGTTTGCAAGACCAACTTGGCTTCCAACACAGCCTTCCGTGGCTTTGGAGGGCCTCAAGGAATGATGATCGCTGAGTGCTGGATGAGTGACCTTGCTCGGAAGTGCGGCCTGCCACCTGAGGAGGTACAGACCCACTGACACATTTCATGGTGATGCTGTTTTGAGCAAGCTCTGAGAATGGACAAACCACAGAATTTTATTGAGCATAAGAGTTTTCACTTCATTTTTGCTAAGCGCTTAGCAGAGTCTCAGATTTTCTGTGTGACAGCCACGTTATATCATGGATTATCTTCTACTTCATTGAATCCCCCCAGCAGCCTCAGTTGTGGAACACCTGCTTTAGGGAAGCTGTATTTCAGGAAGTCCAAAGGCACTAGGTACTTTAATCTTACTAGCAATGTGCTTAAGTCCCAGTCTCTCTTGAAAATTTCCAGCCTTAATGTCTTAGTCCCCATTTCCCCATAAACAGATATATGTCTGTTAATTCTATTGTACCATAGAGTGAGCAGAGGAGTAAAAATTGGAACTAACATGCTTTTGATATCTTCCATTAGAAAGACCTAATCTGGAGCATTAAACTTGACATGTCCTTTACGTGTCTCTTTGGGAAGGTGCGGAAGCTCAATCTTTACAATGAAGGAGACCTGACTCATTTTAACCAAAAGCTGGAGGGATTTACTCTGCGAAGGTGCTGGGATGAATGTTTGTCAAGCTCTAGCTATCATGCCAGGAAGAAACTAATTGAAGAATTCAACAAGTAGGTGTTCTGGAGTTGCCTTGTTACCTGCTGCCTATCATCTACTGAAGTTCTCTTAGCAGCTTGAGTCATACAAAGTCAGACCTTATATTTGTAGAGTGACTTGAAAAACGTTTCTTTCTGAAACTCCTTTATGCTCACTATGGAAAAACCTTCCTAAGTTTGTAGCTTAAATAAGGCAGGATTTGACCTACCGTGACCTGATTTTGTAAGTGAAATGTAGCAAAGGAGAGAGGGTCTGGTAAGTCCAGCCAGGTTTTTCAAATGGCTATTAAGTCATTTTGTTTAGGTTTTCCGCTGCCTTCCAGTCTCTTTTAGTTGGCAGTTTAGTTAACTGAACAGTTAACAGTCCAGGCAATTGCTTCTATAGAGCCTGGGGGAGCACCTTCAGTTCGGATTTCTTCTTGCTAGGACCTATAAACAAAGCCAATCTTTCATAAAAATTACTGATTAACTCAGTCTATATTGCATTCAGGTGCTTTATTTCTGCTTCGATACCTAAGCTGTCAGAGGGAACCATAGTATTGAGTTGCAGTGAAAGCCCTCATGAGTATACAAATAACATTCTTTCCCTGCAGGCAGAATCGCTGGAAGAAGAGAGGGATGTGCATCATTCCTACCAAATTTGGCATCAGTTTCACTATCCCATTTCTGAACCAGGTCTGTAAGTGTCATCCATCTTTTCAGTAGAGAAGCTAGATTTACGCTGCCTCCCCCAGGCCCTCCTCCATTTGTACCAAACTGGAGCTTTTCAGACTAGTAGTCAATTAGTCAAGAAAGAGCGCATGTTTTGCAAAATAAAGTGAGCAACACAACAGTTACCAGTTTATGCTGTCCAAAAGACGCCACGGTGCAGCTATGTTTCCATGGTATTGTGTTATTTCCCCTACCTATTCTCTCTTCCTCAATAGTAAACACTGTTTCTGTTGTTTGACCCGACTTGACAGACTCTCAGTGGTGTTAGCAAGCTCAGGTGAAGGGTGCATCTCTGTTTCACAGGGGCAGGTTTGGGTTACTTCACCTGTTTTCTAAGCTGAAAATACTGACTGAAGTTTGTTGTGTCACTGGAACTGCTAGTGAGTTGATGAGACTAACCCAAACTCACCTCAAGTGCAAACTGGTGGCTTTAATTACACCAAAGAACAATATTGGTCTAGTTCCAAATCAATTCTCTCTGTAGTTTGTAACTGAAATCCTGCTAAGTATTTCACTAGTTCATTTATGATGACTCTTGGATTACTGTTCCTTTTATAGGCTGGAGCTCTAGTCCATGTGTATACAGATGGCTCTGTGTTACTTACACATGGGGGTACTGAGATGGGTCAAGGACTTCACACCAAAATGATTCAGGTAATAATGAGTTTGGACTTAACCAAATGAGACATCTTTTCAGGGAGACATACACTCAGTCTACAGTATTACCTCAGACAGCTTGCTGCTTCCTCTATGTGCATGTGGAGGGTAGCAAATCATGACTAATTCATCTTCATTGTTTCAGCAGCAGTGCTAGATTTCCAGATTATTATCACAGTTGAGTGTGAGAATTAGGTTCTTTATCATCTGAACTGTTTATTATGTAGATAATGCAGGTTATGCTTACAATCTAGCTTCTCTAGCAATTTCATTTCCCATAAAACTAGAGTTTACATGTGTTTTATGCGAAAATTAGTTGTATTGCAAACATACTTATCTGCATATGCTAATGCCTTTGTAGCTAAAAAGACCTAAGGGAGTGATACTGTTTTGGCAGGGAAATTAAAGGGGAATCTAATAGGGCTCTTTATCCTCTGATTCTTATAACCATTGAGAGAAGAATTTAGTCTCACAGTAGTGAATTGAATGTCTTTCATTGTGGCAAACATGTATATGGTCACACACATTCAGTCCGTGAAGGACAAACTTAATGTTCTGGCTAGTGCTCAGTCACCAAATCAACTGAGGCTTCAAGGAAAATGAGATTTAGGACAGGAGAAGGTAGAGGTCGCAGTGCTAGCAGTGTAAGCAATGAATGATGGTGCTCATGTATAGGAACTGCTGCTTACCCACTGTTTATTTTTCCTCTGCAGGTTGCTAGCAGATCACTGGGAATCCCCACCTCCAAAATTTACATCAGTGAGACCAGCACAAACACTGTCCCAAATACCTCCCCGACAGCTGCATCTGTCAGTGCAGACATCAATGGGATGGCCGTCCATGTATGGAAACTGAGTTACTTGAACTAGTGGGTTATAAGCTAGGACTTCAGAACATGGAAGTTTGATGTGTGTTTATCTGTTGCTTAAGGAAAGCATAAACATTAAAAGGCAATTCCAGGCTAAGGATACCTCGTAACTTCTTTACCTGCTACAACTACCAGCACTCTTAGATGATGAATGACTGTATTTTTTCAAGTTATTCAAAACTCTCCTTCAGTCCTTTTATAGTTCTAAAATGGAGTATTTATGATTTCTCAAAATGAGCAGAACAAAACATCCATTTAAATAGCTGGCTTCCTAGTAATTAATGCAGCCTTATCCTTAACAAATACATTGTGCTGCACATCTTGGTAGCAGATGGTTTGCGGGCTGTGCTTCAGAATCAAAGACCTGTAAATGTTGATACACTCAGAGCAAACATCCTTCTGTAGCAATGGTGTGGTCATGATTGTCTCTGACATGGAGGAGTTACCAATGCATATATTTGCAGGGTATGTGACTTTTTCATTGGAAAGAGGAATTTAGTATTGATCATTCTCGGGTTTAAAGAAAAGGGGAAGTGTAACCTGAGGTAAAATAATCAGGTTGTTTTTATTCTCTGCACAGCTTGTCTGAGTGCGTTGAATTTAGGCAAGGATGTTATACATTTTTTCAGTGTTACAGGATCATCTTGCTAGGTACGCTAAAATGTCCTGCTATGGCTTGGTACAGATCAAGTTACTGTATAAATGGGTGGACTTGTGATATTTTGTGTCATGCTCCTAAATATTCTGTACGGAATTTGGGGTTCCCTTCTACTATCAGCATAGTCAATCTGCTTTAACGTCTTTTTCAGTCAGCGTTTCTTCCTACATAGCAAGATATCTGTTAGTGAACTTTGTTCCTTTTTATGATAGACCTAAATCCTAAAGGCAATATTGATTTAAACAGAAGGGTCTTTGAAACTCCTATAAAGCTTTTCATGCTGTAATCTATAAGCTGGCTCTTCAGATCTTTAAATATTGCTTCTCTTTGTTTCCAGAATGCTTGTCAGACCATCTTAAAAAGACTTGAGCCTATCAAACAGTCTAATCCCAAAGGATCCTGGGAAGACTGGGTAAGCTGCCTGTATCTGTCACGAGATAAATGGGCATTGTCAGAGATTGTTTGAGTTGGCAAAGCCTGTATGCAGGTATATCCTCCACCCCTCTGCTAGCAAAGATCTGTGCAAAGACAGTGAGAGAGAAACCTGGCAAGGGAAGTAACCACCACTTGCAAGAGATCATCCCCAAAACATCAGTTATGACTTTAGTACTGAGATTTCTCCCGATCCTGGTGCCTGTCCATGACAAACTTGACAAAATAGAAGTCTTGAGTGGTTACATATATCTTTCAGGCTACAGCCTTGGACAGGAAGAAACCTTATTTGTAATAATGAAGGGATTCTGTGACAAAAATGACTTTGTGAGCTGCCATCCACCTCCTGTAGTGCTCCTTAGCTGCAATACCTCTGTACCCTCAGTAGTAAGAGATTAGTGTTCCGTAAGCTCTCAGGCCATTTTCAGATCCAAGTTCTCTTCAAGAGAGAAGCTCTGACTTTGTGATTTGCAAGTCAAGACGACTGTCAGTTTAACCTTTGTCTCAGGTTGAAAGTCTAACCTGTAGCTGAGAGCTGCACAAACAAGACCAAGCCTTATCCCCCTGCCAATGGGCAAGTTCTGCCCTTGGTAGCTGCTGACAGGGCTATTTGGGGAAGCCGCTGCATCATGATGTTTTCCTTTGCGCTGCTGGTGCTGGGTAGCATGAAAGCTGCGTGTCACTGGACACCTTCTATTCATGCTCTCCTGGAAATGTGTTTGGGGTAGCTCATTTGCTGTGGTTGGACGATTACTGCTTTCAAACTCTTGTTCACTTTGCCAGATTAAAGCCGCATACGAGAACTGCGTTAGTCTGTCGGCAACGGGGTTTTATAGGTGAGTGGATGTTCATACTGTAGAGGCACAGCTTCTGCTCGACTGGGAAATTCTGGAGGATTTACAGCCCCTATCCCCTGACTCTGCTCTAAATTGGGGCTGCATTCCGTCTCCTACCTAGGAATGTTAAGCTGAGGTTAACACAATCCTGGCTGTAGAGAATCAGCTCCTGATGGAGCACAGCTCTTGAGGCCAAGTTCAAATATCATGTAAATCTGAAGTAGATCTAACTTCACTCTAGGTGACCTAGGTCTGAGGAGGCATAAATGAAATCAGAGCTTTGCCTGGGGCTCTGCTCTGTGTCAACCTCGTGACTTAGTTTTGCACTAGAACCATCATGCAGGGGTAAAAAGGAGGCAGGGGTTTGTCCTTGAGGACAAAGCTGCTTATGGCAATTGGCTGGAGCAGTATCCTGTTTGTTGTGGCATGAGGAGATACCAGTGCTTCCAGTTTCATTCTCCCACTTTAAACTGTGTCTGGTTCCTGTGCAGTTCTGAAATGAGGCACTTTTCTTAGCTTTACTGCTGGAGGAAACCAGAGATCCATCATCTTAGAGGCAGAGAGGTTAACATAAAACAAACTAAACACAGTGTTGGAGAGCTTATTTAGGACTAAAACACAATATGAGCTCATTTCTGTTGCATCTCTGAAATGTGTTTTTCTCTTAACCAATTGACTGTCAGTATTTTAATAATCCAGTTTTCAGATAAAGTATAAAATGCCTGATACAAAGTTTGCCATGAGCTGGGCTTAAATCACTTCTTAGCTTAATCCAGTTTCTGGTTCAACTTGCTTATGCTCTGAAATTTAATGACCTCCAGGAAATGTTCAACTGCACTCCGAAAGCAAAAGATTTGCTACTGGCTTGGTAGGAATGAATTCATAATAGTCATCACGAGCCCTGAGATTCATGGGAAACTAAAGGCTAAAACAGTTGGATAGATTCAGTCAGGTTTTGGAACACAGAGCAGCTTTAGCAGATCTCTTGTTCGTACTTTTTTGCATGGGCTTGACAGAAGGGCTGACCCAAAAGTGAATAAGGATTTCTTGCAGGGTGCTTGTATTCCTTTTGACTGTTCATTGAATGAAATGTGGTTTTGTTTTCCTCTGTGTTCAGAATTCCTGACCTTGGCTACGACTTTGAGAAGAATGAAGGGAAACCGTTCTGCTACTTCAGTTACGGCGTTGCTTGCTCCGAGGTTGAGATAGATTGCCTGACAGGTGACCACAAGGTGAGGGGGTCAGCAGTGAAACAGCCCTCTGTGTTTAGGTGAAGGAAACATTCACAGGGAGTTAGAACAAATACTGGGTGTCAGCCTGTTCCTAGCTCTGCCATTGGTCTGGTGTGACCTTCAGTGAATTTCTTAACTCCTCTGTTCCACAGTGCAACAGTCCATAAAGTATAATAAACCGATAATTATCTACCCTGGGGGGATACTAGGAGGCTTAATGGATGATTGCAAAAGTTATTGGATTTGCTTAAGTAAGAGATAGCAGCATGGTGTTAGCACAGAAAGAACAGAAACATTCTGGAATTGAGTTAATCATTAAAAATCTCACCAAAGACTTTTAGAAAGAAAGAAAAGAGACAAAAGTATTTCATCAGAATGTGACCTAGTTGGTTATGCTCAGGTGCAGAGCACTGACACGAGCAGCTGAATGTAAACTGGGTCCCTGCATCCCTGGGGAAAACCTCAGTGGGTTCCTTTAGTTTACTTTAGGGATGCACCTCAGATTAAAAGTCAGTTGAGCTGAGGTAGATGGTTGAACACTGGCCAAGTGTGGGTAGTGGTTGGATATATTACTCCTCCTCATACAAGACCAGGGGGTACAAGCTGCAGTGTTCTGTGCTGATTTAGTCTTTATTTCTGCCTTTCAGAACATTCGCACAGACATTGTTATGGATGTTGGTACCAGTCTGAACCCAGCCATAGATATAGGACAGGTAAGTAAAACAGTTCTACCAAGTGCCCACACTACTCTCAGGCTTTTCTTGATCAGCCATTATCCCTCTCCAGGTTGTGCCTTTGCAAACAGAGCGTTTCAAACTTGGGTATCCAGTGAGGCTTACTTAGCTATGAAAACCAGTTTGACTTAACTATGCAGTAAGCACAGAATTATGTAAGGAAATCCCCTTTTGGACTTTTTTTTTTTTGCCTCAGACACTAAGACTATAGGATATTCTCCAGTTACCACCACACTGATGCTTGTCAGCATCTGCCTTGCCTAAGGAATGAATCCAGAAAATACTAATATGATGGAATAACCTCATCCCAGGCTTCGTTTCTGCAGTGTGGTATATGAGACTAAATCCCACACTCCTATCTGTCAACATCAAGTCCCACTTAACTCAGTGAAAATTCTTCTGTGAATAAAGAGATTCTGTCCTCCAGCTACTGCTGTGTGGGAATCTCAATAGGAAGTTGTACCAGTCACTTAGCTTGCAAATTCCTTGGGCAGGGACAAGCTTAAGTCCATGTTTTGTGCAGTAGTAATCACAATGATACCTCTCAGCAAATAAAGGTAAGAAACGCAGGGTTTGATGTGCTAAGAGATGAAATGTTAGGTGTCTGCACATGCTCATCTAGCCATTTTAGCTCCCTTGGTAACTCTAGATGTTGATGTAGTGTGATTCCTGCTGCTTTAGCTCAAATGAAACTTCATTGAAAGCAACATTTTTCCTGAAAGAGACATTTTTGGAAGTGGCCAAGGGGAGAAGGAGCCTTTCCATCTTCACAGCCTGTCAGCTTGGGTACAAAGAGGTGGGCTGTACAGAGCCTGTCAAAGACATCTCAATTTCCTGTGTCCTTTGAGGAATTGCTGCAGAGGATCTAGGGGCACAGGAAAGGATATTGTGTGACTGCAGGAGCAAGAGTACAGAGAGCTAGGTTTATGAGTGTTCGTGCCAGATATTTAGACTGCTCTGCCTCTATGAGCATAGAGGGCAGAGCTGCTTCATGTCAGGTTGTTGAAGCACATCCTCCTCTCATAGCTGCTTCCCCCCTTTTTTCCCCTCCTAAAATTTACAGTGATCTTTAGTATTTGAATGGATATGGGAGTGGTTTTTGCAGGTGTCTGTGCTGGTCACCTGAGAATATGCAGTACTTAGGAAAGCATTTATACTGAAATAGAAAGTGTAAAATAGTTTGTCTTCAGGTATGTCATCTTCAGTCTTCTTGTTCTTTGAATTACCAGCAAGTACAACTCATTCAGTGGTAACCTGCCTGTGAAAGAATGAATATTTTGGCACTGATTTCCTTTTTTCCCTTGCTTCCTCGGAGAATTCCTGTCCTGTGTTTGCAGCGTATCTGCTTGTGTGTATCTGTGAATTGCTTCACCTGCCAGGGCAATGCAGCCACATCTTTATGGGAACACAGGGACTGTGCAAAGCTGCCAAGCTGTACTCAGCAGAAGGGACAAGGGTTTAGGGATGAAAAGTGGGAAATTAGTCGGGAGGGGAGGGCTGGAAACTCTGGTAGAAATCATCACTGTTAGTTCCAGTGCAGGGAGGAACAGCAGCAAAAAATATGTAACCTTGTTTGGATGTGTTTTTAGATAGAAGGAGCATTTGTCCAAGGCCTTGGGCTCTTCACCATGGAGGAGCTGCGCTATTCTCCTGAAGGGAACTTGTATACCCGAGGGCCTGGGATGTACAAAATCCCAGCGTTTGGAGACATCCCAACGGAATTCTATGTGTCTCTTCTCCGTGACTGTCCAAACAGCAAGGCAGTTTATTCATCCAAGGTATACCTGTGAGATCTGCAGGCCTCTTCCTGCTCTATAACTCTGGGTGTGATGAAGTAATGATGCATGTGTGTAAGTAGTCTGTCTTGCTATGCTGGCTGTATTCTGGGGTCAGGATGTTTTCTCATTCCTTACCAGAGGGATGCATATTATCCTTTATAGTTAGGAAGAACTGAAATGAGCTGCACATTGCTGTCCTGATTGTCCATTAGAGACAACTGAAGTGGCTTTACTGGTGTAACAGAGGCCACAGCCTTCCCCTGCATGTCAGTTCCCTGGTTGCTCTTCCCCAGCACCAGAGCCACCACTGCAGATAACGTTTCCAGCAGTGCCGCTTCCCCAGCTCTGATACACCAACATCTTGTGTCTGAGTTTGTTTCTATACTCTTTCAGTGCTCATGACACCCTTAAAGGTCCATTATTAATCCATGTGTCCTAAAGGTCCATTATTAATCCATGGGCTGCTCCCACTGCAGTCAGTGCTGTTCTCTGCAGTTAGTGAGGGCTGCACAGAGCGGGGCTGCATGTACAGCTTCGATGAATTTGCTTTACTTATGGTTTAACAGAGCATTTAGAGGCCATCTAACATCCTTATCTGTATATGCCTGGCCTGCTTCCTTAGAGATTCCCATTTCCCCTTCATCCACAGGAGCATCCTCATCAAGGAGAAGGTTTTGGGTGATCAGTGGTGATGGCAATTAAGAAAAAAGGATCTGGCAGGGACCTCAGTACTAGATAATACTTGTGTGATCCCTGAGGAAGGCATTTCTGCTAGTTTGCAAGGACCTCTAGTGATGGAGCATCATGGTCTCTGCCCAGACAGCTCACCACTCATTTATCTGAATTCCCTTTGCTGCAGTTTTAGCACCATCCCAAAGTTTGTGGGAATGGGTTAGTCCCTTTTTAATTTGTAACAGCCTTGCTGTGCCAGACAGCTTGTGTTTTCCTACTGTCTCTTCTTTAAATGGACCGAGAGCTGTTTTAGCTCAGTCTTACCTCACCAATACCATGTGGCAGACTGGAGGCTGGTTTAGCTTCATGTTTCCCCGCTGATCGCATCTGGTAGACTCAGGCTCACGTCTGGAAGGCAAGGGGGTGTTTTGGCTTGGCCTTTGCTTCCTGACCACATCTGGGAGCCGGAGACATTACAAAGAAGGCATGAGGAATGCAAACAATTCCTGATTGTCACATAAGGCTTGGTTATCTTTCTTTAGCTTCATTAGTTTTTCAAGGGCCAGGACTGTTTTGGGCTGCAGCCTCACTCTTGCTTGTACTCTGCCTAGGCTGTGGGAGAACCACCTCTGTTCCTGTCTGCCTCGGTGTTCTATGCCATTAAAGATGCCATCTACTCAGCAAGGAAGGACTCTGGCTTGACTGAACCGTTCAGGCTGGACAGTCCTGCCACCCCAGAGAGGATCCGCAATGCTTGTGTGGATATCTTCACCAAAATGGTAATAGCTTCTGGTTCCATAGTCTGCTTCCTACCCTATAGGATGGAGTGTGTGTGCTGGTCACAGGTCTGGGATTAGGGCAAGATCAAAGGCTGGGGCCTTGCTTAAGCAGATGGGGTTCATTTCATGGGTGTTATCCTTCATTTAACATGCCACCAAATGAGAGACCAATCCACAGACCAGCACTGCTGGGGCTCCTATTGCAGGAAAGGTTGCTATAAAGTATCATGAAGCTGCAGTTCCTCCAAGTGCTGTCTGTAGAAGGAAGGCCCTGACTTGTTGCCCTGATGCTCCTGACTATCTTATCCCAGGGAATCACCACCACTAGCATATCTTGCAGGTCCATTCTGTGATTTAATGGTGTCCCTCAGGGAGGGAGGGAGAGGAAAATGTTACTGAAAATACTCACTTCTTCTCAGTGTTATGATCACAGGAGTCCTCTTAGAGGCTGCGGGCTTGATCTGAATGATAACAGCACAGGAGTCAACCCTTTCACTGTTTCTTCATGGCTTCCTTCTCTGTTAACAGTGTTGTGACAGGGCTGCATGGGAGTTGGTCCCTGCACAGGGGCCTGCTGATTGCAGTATACTCAGGAAACAGCTGTCTGTCCAGGTGGGCATCCTCCAGGCTTTTGCCAGCTTGAACCCCTTTGTGGTTAACAGCAAAACCTGGTTATCTTGGTCATTCCCACCTGACACCTGCATCACTGTCTGAGAGGAGGACTTGGAAATGGTTTTGAGAACTTGCACAAGCTGTTGACCATCAGCCCTTCAGCTAGAGCCAGGCCCAGCCTCTAACAGAGGTGCCATGAAACAGACGTCTCTGTGTTTTGAAGGGCTGGGGTATGAGCTCAGGTCTTCAGTGGTACAAAGTCACCCATCTCAAAAGGAGCATAGTGGGGCACTCCAAACCCAGGCCAGGACCTTCATCTGTTGCTAACTTACTTTGTTCTCTCTTTACAGTGCCCTTCTGCTGAGCCAGGGACCTTTAAGCCATGGTCCGTGCGTGTGTAGAAGGCAAGCTTGAGGAGCAAACTCTCCTCCTGAAACTGAGCTGACACCAGAGGGACCACAAGGCAGTAGGACTATAATGGGAAAAATAAATCTGTGTTCATGCGGCTCATCCACTGATTCATGGAGCTTTCACATTTAATTGTCCAATCATTGTTTCCTCTAGCAGAAGGAATTGCTGCCAGATTATAGCTGTGATGTAAATTCAAATGAAGAGTAAGTGGAAGCTGATGTTATCCAGATGTTATTGGAAAATCTTCCAGGTTTCATTTAAAACTGCTGCAAGGATGGGAGACATGCTTATTGCCAGCCAATGTGCAATAGCAGGGTGGTTGTTTCTTCTTTTTCTGCTGTAGGGAAAAGATGGATCACCTTGTGATGCTGTGCCAAGAACTTAAATGCATTATACCCAGACAAACAGTCCTCTAGCTGAGATGGGGGAAGGCACGAGAGGCACTGAGGGCTGGACCCTGCTGTGTCCCTGCTGCACACAAAGCCTGATATACACTAGAGGAAGATGAGGAGTTTTGATGTAAGCTAACGAAGATGGTCTTGCCTATTTAACAAAAGTGGTTCACAGGAATATCCTAAAATGTGACCAATCACTGATTATCCTATGTTAAATGACTATTGCTTTGTCTCCACTGGGGCTTTAATGAATTCTTAGCTCATGTACTACTGATTAAAGATAAAAACTAGACCTGTACCAAGAAGGCTTGCAGCAAGATGCTGCTTCATTAGCACAGCCTTTTCCCACCCCACGCATCCACATCTTTCCCCATCCTTTAAATAAGAAAGGACATCGGAGATCTTGGAATGACAGAGAAAGCTACTCATGATTGTTCCCAAGGCGGTTTATACCGGCCCAGGAAAGGGAGAGGAGGATGGACACAGCTGGGGATTAGCTGGTTCTGGGTGCCCTCTAGGGTCAGTCCCTTGCTGTCGTGCTATTGCCTTGCCTTCTTTTCCAAACAATTCTTGGGTTTGCTGAATGTAAGAGAATGAGAATGTTTTGCTACAGGGACTGCTTGTCTGAAAAATGTGCTGTGTGATGACCTCGTGTCTTCTGGGTTGAATGCATTTTTCGTGTTGGATTTAACGCTGAGCATCCCTCTTCCCAGGTTTTGTCACTCAGATTTAACACTGTAGCATCATGTTATCTCTAGGTGATATCAGCCATGTACTGTACCTGCTCATCATGTGCCAACTCTTATCTGTTTCTCTGGCCCATAGCTTTATAAAGATGTCCCTTTTCAACCTTTGCACTCCTAGGGTCATCCAAAAAATATGGTGCAAGAGGATGTAACTCCATTGCCTTGTATAAGATTTTGCTCACATACAAACTGCTTAAAACTGGCCTCCATCACAGGACTTAATGTATGCACAGTTTGAAATATGTTCTTTAAGCACTCCAGGGTATATAGCTTGGAAATGTGCAGATATATTTCTTGGCTTAAAATACCATGGTTCTACCACCTAGAAGAAGCACAGTTGTGTATGTGAGTTGCAGAAAGTATTTTGTGCCTGCTGGGCTTGCTATGTAATTGTCTTGTTAATTGAAATATGATATTGCTGTTTCTTAAGCATAGAACATGTGCTAATGCAGAACACGGGGAGCTACAGGCAAAGAGTATGATGTTGAGGAGCTTCCAGCGTTGTCTCAGGGGAGTGTTCACAAGAGACCTGTGGGTGTCCTGGAACATGGTGGGATGTCACCAGCAGGACGAGTAAGTGCTCTTTACCCCTCATGGTTCTGGAGGCACCTTTTCCATCATTTCAGAAGGGGTTTGTGTGTCTCACAGCCCCAGTGACTGCCTGGTCAGGGGGCATTTGTAAATGAGAGCTATCAAGTCTCTCTTTCGTTATTTGCTTTGTGTGTTAATTTGAAGTGTATTTGCCACGTGAGGTGTATGTGCAGTGATCAGAGCAGGCTAGTTCAGTGCAGACCTTAGCCTGTGGAGCCATTTTTGCTGCAGCACCAGTGAGCCACTGTTTCCCAGGCCCCAGTCCTTGCCCTCAAGCTCACTGCAGCTCAGGGCCCTCTTATTACCCTTCCACAGCTGATGGAAGGAGGAAACCACTTCCTTTTGGGGTGCACTGGAATTGAAAGTAAATTATATCAAACACCTGAGGGAGGGGGGGATAGTATAACATCAGGGTTGCAAAGTAATTACAGAAACTGGTTTTGAGGGTGTAGGAAAAAGGGAAGCTTGGAGACTAATAGGAGTTTACAAAGCAATCATAGTAATCCCTGTGGGTGAGACAGGCACCCTAAGGAACACGAAGCTGAGGTTTTCATTTCACCTCTTGGTGTCTTAACATTTCATACATTGGTTTCCTGTGGAACTAAGCGCCAGGCACTTTAGGGAAGGAGGGCTGGCAGGAATAATGTGGGCTGCTCTACAAAGCTGCCTGAGAATGGCTCTCCTGCTGTCGGTGCATGGCACTGCCCTCTGCTAGGGGCTGCATTAGATCTTGTTACACACATCTCCCTGCACGGGATTTCAGCTTGCCATTGCTGAAGGGAAGGCTGCTTATGAAGAGAAGAATGCTCCCAATGAAACACAGTATGGATGCAGTCCTTCCAGAAGTGTAGTCTCCGAAGAGGAACTATGCCACCTTGCCAGGCTGTACAGTATTACGCACAATAAGGGCACTAAGTAATAATTGCTGTACCTGGGTAGTTTGTGTGAGGGTGGAAGGAGGCCATCTGATCTGATGTCTAAATGTCATTGATAGCATTGTCCTTTGGAGAGAGAGGAAAGCCAAGTTCTCAGTAATTTCAGTTTTAGGTCAATTCTAATCAGCATCTCTCACTATTGTTCTTTAATGAGCATTGTCAAATCAGTGTCCTTGTCACATGAATGTATGCGGAATTCTCTGTGAACGTCACAACACTGCAAAATAAAGCTAAAAATTGTTCTGGAAACAAGTGTGCTATGGTAAAAATCTGTCGCAATCTGAAAGCTGGACAGCTCCAGCTCATCCTTGGTGTTGGGCAAGGATAGACCCTTCCCAGAGGCCGGTCAGCTCAGTGGCCAAGGGTGGGAGAAGACGGGTGGTTGCCGTGTCCTCATCTCATCACTAGTGAGTGGAGCTGAAAGCTAGGCTTGGCCCATTTGAGCCAGTCCTGTAAAGGAGGAACCTCGCTCAAAACTTGCGAGTGGAGCAAGCATTATGTGTTCCTGGGGCCCTCTTGAGCCTAAACATGCAGGAGATGTTAACCAGGAACAGTTCACACAGCATGCATAAAACCAAATGATGGGCTGTGGCTGTCCTTCCCTGAGCATGGAAGGGTTGGGAACATCACCAGTGGTTCCTCAGGAGGGTATGCCACGCTGTGCCTTATCTCACCTACTTGTGTGCAGTAGACAGACCCCACATGATGTGCTCCTTTGGGACTGCTTCATGTATCTGCATGGAGAGACTTGTCCCAAGGAGGCCATCGCCAAACCTCTTGGCCCAAAAGGGAGCCCAGAACACAACACGGCAGTGCAGCAGTGCAGGCAGAGCGCAGGTGGATGGTGCTGTGATTTGCAGGAGGTCCAACTCACCCCACCCCACCCCACTAGGCTTGCTGAGAGTTGTTCAACCCCATCGCAGCTCAATTCATGCACTTTTCCAAATCCCAATGCCATGTGTTTCCCTAGTGCCTGCTATTGCCACATTTAAACACAATTCAGCCGTGTGAAGGGCCTTGGTACCCTGTCCCCTCTCTGATGTGCCTTTTGTAGCGGTGACACGGACAAGTGTGCTGCATGCAGCACTGGAGCAAAGGTCTTTCTGTGACCCAGGCGGTATCACAAAGCACTTCCATTTGGATTACATCTCTCCAAACCATGCCTTCCAGCTGGAATATTGCTACCAGGTCTCCGGGGTGCTGTGGAGGTCTGACAGAAAGCTGCTGGAGAACGGGAAAGCAGCAAGGTCCCAGCGGTAGAAACGAGACAGTTGCTGTTTCTGCTGGAGGGACAGCTCGCTGAACATCTGCTCTGATAACCAGCCATAGGTCCACTGCACTTGGCTGTCGGTGAACTCAGGGAGGAGGCTGTCCACAGCCAGCCCAGCCCTCTGCAGCAGGTAGCCCAGCTCCTGCCTGAGGAAGCCGAACATCACCACGTAGTCGTACTGGACAAGGCAGGGCCGGCAGATGCTCACGAGAGGTTTCCAAGCCATGCTGGCGTTGCGTGGCCCGCTGTCTAGAACATCCTGAACAAAGCTGCTGAAGGAAGGGCTGCTGCCCATGCCTTGCATGAACGTGGAGATCAGCCTGTGGAAAGGGTCCCTGACAAACAGCACTTTGGTGTAGGACCCTAACACTGCCTCTATCTCCGTCAGGTTGAACTTGCTCAGCTGCGTCTCCCGCGCGTGATGCCAAGGGTAGGGAAGCGGCACCGGGAGCGTCACGTTTTCCTTCTCCAGCTTTCCCAAAAGCTGCTGCCATTCCTCCGTCCCTGTCGATGGCACTTGGCAGTAGAGGAGGTCCAGCTTGGTGCTGACCCTCAAACTCGAGAGCAGGCAGGCTCTGTCCTCCGGGCTCCTCGGCAGCGTGGTCACTTTACCCTGTTGGCTGCAGAAAGCTCTTAGTCTCTTCTTCCTGAGCTGCTGGATGTGAAGGAAGGTGTCCAGCGTCAAAGTGAAGCCTTCCTCTGCCCTGGGGGCCAGGTCACCTGGGAAACACCATTTGAAGATGACTAAAGTTCATAGTGGACCTCTGCCTTGAGCTGGCCCAGGATGCTGTGGCAGGTCCTTTTCCAGCCAGTGCAGTGTGAAAAGGACATAGCATAAAGAAAGAAGATGGGTAAGGGAAGGGAGACCTGCCCTGCGTGGTAAAGAGCTCAGGAAATGGGTTTCTGTCCCCGTGAATGGGGGGGAGCTTGGACACACAGACCCCTCTTTCCCCAAACCACTGTGTCTGAGCACTGACAGGCCCCCTTCTCCACTAAATCAGAGCTTTTGCCTTTATCTCCTCACTTTCAACTGAGCTTGACGGAGGTAAGTTTACCAAAATGAGTCAGAAATATTGTGGGAGCTGAGAAGTAGTAAATTGCTTCTGTTAATTAGCTAACATCAGCTATGAAATGTATGTGAAAGCAAGAGATTATCCTTAAT